TAAACTCAAAAGATTAAGATGGCTGCATCCACACATTCTGAATGCTTTGGACTCCAAGGTGGGGTTTTTCACATATCAGTGAGTTTCAACAAACAAAAATTCAGAACTATAAAAGGTATCAACATGAAACTTGGAATACTTGATAATTTTTTCAAGGCAAGCCTTATTCTGAAAGCTATAACTGTATTTCAAAAGTATGAATGAGGTCAACATGAACAAAGAATAAAACAGAAAGAAAATCTGAAAGTTAACAAGGGCATCATTGTCACAAAATACGCCCATCAAAAAAGAATTTGACAAAGATGTGGGCATTATAGATATGCATATAGAAGATATGCTCTGGGCAATATCCAGAAAAACTATCTGGATATTTTTATCATCTTAGTGACCTTGACCTGGCAAATATTAACCTTAATTACACGTGTCACACTTGTAGTCATGATAGTTATTTGTGTTACAATCCATCAATTAATGATGACTAAATGGTCCCCGCACACAAACTTTGACCTCTCTATGTGACCTTGACTTTGGTAGCAGGGACCTGGATTAAGTGCGCAATCAGCCTCACGATGGTGAACATTTATGTCAAGTTACATTAAAATCCATCGGCTCCGAACAAGCATTTTCCAATGACCTCTAACAGTGACATTAACCTTTAACCTAGAGACTTGGTTCATGCACATGTCACTGCTTCTCATAGTGGTGAACATTTCTATGAATTTCATTAGAATGCCTCCATAAATTCCTAAATTTTGCATGCGAAACTCTTCATCACCATGGTGAACATTTTTGTCAAGTTATATTGAAATCCCTGTATGCATGTAGAATTTTTGCTATGGATCTTGTGTGACCTTGACCTTTGACCTAGAGACCTGATTCATGTGCGCTACACAACTTCTTATAGTGGTGAACATTTCTATGAGGTTTAAATAAAATTCCTCCATGCATGTAGGAGGTATGCTCTGGACAAAATCTCTAAATTTTATCATCTTAATGACCTTGACCTTGCATATATTAAACTAAATCACATGTTTTACACCGGTAGTCATGATAATGACCATTTGTGTTTAAATTCCTTAACAAACAATGATGAAAAGCCTTAGAATTACCCAAAATCTAGTTTTTCCATGTTAACTTGTGGCCTTTGACCTAATTTTTTTGTGAAAACTTGTTGTTTTATTAGATTTTTGATTTTTTTAGTTAACCTTTTCCCTCATGAGCATATTGTGAAAAATGGCCGTTTTCATTGAAAAGCCTCCTGTTACAAGTTCAAACTGCTATGAAAGTATGAAAAATGCTTCAATACTAATCAAACTTGGCACAAATGTTAACTGGACCATTGCCTTTGTAACAACTTGCTCAGTCTCAAATTTCCTGTTACCAACGAGGGGACATCTCAAAATTGCCAAAAATCACTATTTTGCCTTGACTTTTCATTAAAATTGATTTCAGAGTGCTGCAACTTCTCAATGGATTGAGATAAAGTCAAAGGCTTTTCAGCATTGGCTACACCTTACCTTATGATCGGCCTGGGGTCATTTTTTTGCCTCCAAAATTTTCTTGGTGATGAGATAGGACATTTTTTCACTATTTGAGGCCTAAAAGGGGGTCAGAAGTGCATTGTTTTGCATATATACGAGGTAAAGGGTTAACAAAAAATGATAAAAAGCCTTAGAATTACCAAAAATCTAATTTTTCCATGTTAACATGTGCCTTTCACCAAATTTTGGTGAAAATTTGTGGTTTTGTAGTATTTTTGATTTTTTTAGTTAACAAATAATGATTAAAAGCCTTAGAATTACCCAAAACTAGTTTTTCCATGTTAACATGTGGCCTTTCACCTAATTTTGGTGAAAATTTGTGGTTTTGTAAGATTTTTGACTTTTTTTAGTTAACCCTTTCCCTCATAAAATGGCCGTTTTCATTGAAAAGCCTCCTGTTACAAGTTCAAACTGCTATGAAACTTTGAAAAATGCTTCAATACTAATCAAACTTAGCACAAACGTTGACTGGACCATTGCCTTTGTAACAACATACTCAGTCTTACATTTCCTGTTACCATGGCAATGAGGAGACATCTCAAAATTGCAACTGCAACTTCTCAATGGATTGAGATAAAGTCAAAGGCTTTTCAGCATTGGTTACACCTTACCTTATGATCGGCCTGGGGTCATTTTTTGCCTCCAAAATTTTCTTGGTGATGAGATAGGACATTTTTTCACTATTTGAGGCCTAAAAGGGGGTCGAAAGTGCGTTGTTTTGCATATATACGAGGTAAAGGGTTAACAAAAAATGATAAAAAGCCTTAGAATTACCCAAAATCTAGTTTTTCCATGTTAACATGTGCCTTTCACCAAATTTTGGTGAAAATTTGTGGTTTTGTAGTATTTTTGATTTTTTTAGTTAACAAATAATGATTAAAAGCCTTAGAATTACCCAAAATCTAGTTTTTCCATGTTAACATGTGGCCTTTCACCTAATTTTGGTGAAAATTTGTGGTTTTGTAAGATTTTTGACTTTTTTTAGTTAACCCTTTCCCTCATAAAATGGCCGTTTTCATTGAAAAGCCTCCTGTTACAAGTTCAAACTGCTATGAAAGTATGAAAAATGCTTCAATACTAATCAAACTTGGCACAAATGTTAACTGGACCATTGCCTTTGTAACAACTTGCTCAGTCTCAAATTTCCTGTTACCAACGAGGGGACATCTCAAAATTGCCAAAAATCACTATTTTGCCTTGACTTTTCATCAAAATTGATTTCAGAGTGCTGCAACTTCTCAATGGATTGAGATAAAGTCAAAAGCTTTTCAGCATTGGTTACACCTTACCTTGAGATAATGATCGGCCTGGGGTCATTTTTTGCCTCCAAAATTTTCTTGGTGATGAGATAGGACATTTTTTTCACTATTTGAGGCCTAAAAGGGGATCAGAAGTGCATTGTTTTGCATATATACGAGGTAAAGGGTTAACAAAAAATGATAAAAAGCCTTAGAATTACCCAAAATCTAGTTTTTCCATGTTAACATGTGCCTTTCAACAAATTTTGGTGAAAATTTGTGGTTTTGTAGTATTTTTGATTTTTTTAGTTAACAAATAATGATTAAAAGCCTTAGAATTACCCAAAATCTAGTTTTTCCATGTTAACATGTGGCCTTTCACCTAATTTTGGTGAAAATTTGTGGTTTTGTAAGATTTTTGATTTTTTTAGTTAACCCTTTCCCTCATAAAATGGCCGTTTTCATTGAAAAGCCTCCTGTTACAAGTTCAAACTGCTATGAAACTTTGAAAAATGCTTCAATACTAATCAAACTTAGCACAAACGTTGACTGGACCATTGCCTTTGTAACAACATACTCAGTCTTACATTTCCTGTTACCATGGCAATGAGGAGACATCTCAAAATTGCAACTGCAACTTCTCAATGGATTGAGATAAAGTCAAAGGCTTTTCAGCATTGGTTACACCTTACCTTATGATCGGCCTGGGGTCATTTTTTGCCTCCAAAATTTTCTTGGTGATGAGATAGGACATTTTTTCACTATTTGAGGCCTAAAAGGGGGTCGAAAGTGCGTTGTTTTGCATATATACGAGGTAAAGGGTTAACAAAAAATGATAAAAAGCCTTAGAATTACCCAAAATCTAGTTTTTCCATGTTAACATGTGCCTTTCACCAAATTTTGGTGAAAATTTGTGGTTTTGTAGTATTTTTGATTTTTTTAGTTAACAAATAATGATTAAAAGCCTTAGAATTACCCAAAATCTAGTTTTTCCATGTTAACATGTGGCCTTTCACCTAATTTTGGTGAAAATTTGTGGTTTTGTAAGATTTTTGACTTTTTTTAGTTAACCCTTTCCCTCATAAAATGGCCGTTTTCATTGAAAAGCCTCCTGTTACAATTTAAGTTCAAACTGCTATGAAACTTTGAAAAATGCTTCAATACTAATCAAACTTAGCACAAACGTTGACTGGACCATTAATTGCCTTTGTAACAACATACTCAGTCTTACATTTCCTGTTACCATGGCAATGAGGAGACATCTCAAAATTGTCAAAAATCACTATTTTGCCTTGATTTTTTCCATCAAAATAGATTTCAAAGTGCTGCAACTTCTCAACGGATTGAGATAGAGTCAAAGGATTTTCAGCGTTGGTTACACCTTACCTTATGATCGGCCTGGGGTCATTTTTAGCCTCTCACAAATCCAAAATTGTATTGGCGATGAGGGGACTACCGCCCCCACCCCCACTTCAAACCCCCCAAACAGAAGGGTGCACACCTTCTGGCAACCCTCTGATGTATCTTTTGAATGGTGGCGGCGCCAAAAAAGTTCTCACTTTTTTAGCAACATTTCTCAAACGAAAACATGTGTTTGGGGCCCTATAAGGACATTTTTTCACTATTTCAGGCCTGAAAAAAGGGAGGGGGGGGGGGTCGAAAGTTCGTTGTTTCGCGTATATATGAGGTAAAGGGTTAATTAAGACAAAATGTTTCATGAATAAAACCAAAACTTGTGAATCAAAAACTTATGATATCTCCTTCATGGGTGTGGAGGCACTCAGCTTTATTCATACATGTACATAATTTATAATAATCAATATTATTATTCCAAGTTTCTAATAAGTTATAAATCAGAATTAAATAGAAAAGGACATTTTTTCACTATTTGAGGCCTAAGAGGTGAAGGGGGGGGGGTTCAAAAGTGCGTTGTTTCGCGTATATATGAGGTAAAGGGTTAATTAATGATGACCTAAATTAATGGTCTTAATACACATTTTCATATTATTATCTGAACTTTGACCCCTATGTGTGACCTTGGCCGCAGGGACCTAAATTTTGCACACAATACTCCGCCTCACATTTGTGTCAATTATATTGAAATCCCTCAATGCATGTAGATGTTTTGCTCTTGGCAAGCGTTTTTCAATGACCTCTAAGTGTGAACTTCACCTTTGACCAATTAAGAGACCTGGTTCATGCTCCCAATTTTAGGGGGGCATAAAAAGGACATATCCGTGCATAAAATACTTTAAGGATTATCTGCTCTTTTGAAATGGTGTCCTTTCGTGACATTTAACACGAAGAATACCAAATTTATGGCGAATAGTTTTTACAATTCTGAGAATGTGGTCTTGAACAAAAAGATTACCCAACATCTATGTCAACCCTGACAATAGCTCAAAATATTTTCTTTGAAACGGAGAGCTAATAAAGAAGCCATTGGTAAAGGTAGAAATTAAGATTTATTCATGCTATAAAATCTTTCATTACACATAATTTGGACAAGGTCAAGGTAGACCATTCATGTATAAATAAATTTTATAGCTATTTCACACAAATTCTTTCAACCCTTTATTTCTTATCATAGAACTTTTTGCTTGCTGAATTATAAACTTTTTTTGCTTGAGTTATATATGGAGCTATTACTGGTAAAGCTAAGACAGATGATTCAAATTTCAATTTTTGAGTATCCTTACCAGTAAAATCACAGGGATGAGTTACTCCTTCGCTATAGCAATTATATTTTTCAAATATCTTTACAAACCCACTGAAATTTGAATTATTCCAGTCAATTATGTCCATGCTTTGAGCAGGAATGTCAATATTCAATGATAACCAAAGATAAATCACGGTGGAAACATCAAGTTCATTTGTATTAAAGTCAAACAAAGGTAATTCTTCACTGACAAGCAGTAAATCACTTGCGCATGAATACATCAGTATCTGTATACCTTGTTTGGATGCTATAAAAGAAGGAACCAATGTACTGGCAAGGCAAGGTGAAAGTTTCACTTGTAAAAAAGCATTTGTTATAGTCTGTGCTAAAGCCTGACGTAATAATTGCATTTGTTTTTCTTCAACTATACTCCGGCTGTTAATTCTTGACATAAACACAGGGTCTAACTCAACACAAGATGACCGGCTATTGACACTTCCTTCTCCATCTGTATCTATACTATTAACTCTCCTTTTTTTCTTGACATGCTCGTTGTTCTCAACTTGGTCAATGCATTCATCTCCGGAATCACTGAGGTTTTTATCAGGGCTATAATCTTGACATAAGGATGACCGTATAATTTCTACAGCACTCTTGCCTACGATAATGTCTGTATAGCCATGCCACACATCTTGATGGCCTGTAATGTAAAATTCTATTCAGGTTAGATATATACTTACTGCAATTGTGTATGCATAACACTCACTCTATCACTTTTGTGGTTAAATCAAATGTCATATAGGCAAATGTGCAAATCAAGGCACTAATAATTGACATTTTCAGGCTGTCAACCAGGTCTTATCCAAAATAGAGGAGGAATATAGGAATATTTTAGCAGGAAATATAGGAGTTTTTGGACCATTTTGAGGCAAAAAAATAGGAGTTTTCAACTTAAATTGTTTAACTTACCAATGCTTATATAAATGTAAATTATTCTTACTTTTACACATGCTGTTTCTACAATAAAATGTCTACCGTATAAGTGAAGGAAACCATTAGCAGGCTGTCCAGCACCTTCCGACATAAAATTAGGGTGAATTTTACAGTAATACTTCAGAAATTTTAGGGATAAAATTAGGAATTTTAGGGTACGTAATAGAAATTTTAGGGCTAAAATTTGCAATTTTATGACTAAATAAACTAAGGTCCCAAAAGAACACGATATGGGCTATCCTTTGCATATTTGACACAAAAGTAACTCACAAATAATGCTCTAGTTTAGTAATAGAGCAAAGGTGCTACCAGTGTGGACTCACTGGTCAACTGCCTCCCCTGCGGAAATGGTCATAGTCAAATCATGTTCAAACCATATTTTTTAAAATGGCTGAACATGTCAAAAAGAACATGTTCTACCTATGTTTTGGGAATGTTATAACCACAAGTGTCTAAAAGGAATTCTTATACAGTGAAATTCTTGCACAATGCAGCTTTTGAATCATAATTATTGACAAATGAATTTTTTTGTAAAAGTAGGTAAAAAGTAAAAAGGCATTTGCCTTAGTACAGTCATTTGTATAAATGGGAAACATCTATAATCAACACAAAGAATTGCACATCAAAAAAAGTTCATCACACAGACCATTCAATTGCAGTTTATCTAGATCACATAATTGCAAAATGTGTGTACATTGTAATTGGAAATGAGCTTTATATTACTGAACTGCCAAATTATTTTGTGTGTGATTAATTATATGAGTCTGCCTTTCCTAAATTGCACCATATGAATGAAAGAACAAGAACTGAATGAAATTGATAACTGTGGCAAAATAAGCAATTTCTCCTACAAAGATACGAAAAGAATAAATAAGTATGAGGGAAAGAATTAATTTTTCAAAGTCTATGTTAACCCATTCAGTACTTTACAATGTTGTTTTGATATTACGCAGATCTAAATAAAAGAGTTGTGAGTAAACAAATTGTACATTAGCTTTTGACAACTATTTATACATGTTTTTAATTAAGATTGTGTTACAACAGCTTCATAATGATCATTTTCAAATATGATATGATACAAATGGACCACTTCAGAAATTTGGATAAAATGAACAAACATAAAATTCAAGATATCTGGAGTTGGCAAAACAGTGTCAAAATATTCCAGAATAAGTGGACTCTTATGGTTATGATTTAAGTTTCAGGACCGGAAGCGGAATCTTTATGGCTTCGTAGTTCGAATTGGGCATTGCGAAAATTCGTGGAATAGACACCATTGCAACTTAACACTTGCACTGGACAAATCACCTTCGTGCTGAATATTGGGTAGCTGTCATTAAACGGGCGTTTGAAAAGTAATTTTTTAAGCAGACAGTCTTTGAATGACGCCATTTTGTAAATAGACTGGTCCCCTGCGCATTTCAGTGGGAACAATAAGAGGACATGGAACCAGATTATTTTTGTAACCGGTTGTTCACCACTAAATATGCGGTATGTTACTAACCGAAATCAACTTTTCATTACCGAAATCAGCTCATTAAATCACAATTAATCAATCAATTTATTTGAATTATTTTTCTATGGGTTGAATTGAACTTACATGCAAAAAATCACCAAAAAATAATAGATATTGATGATGTTAGAGACGAAAATATATTTTCATGATTTCTTCCTATAGCTAATGCAAACCGAGATCAACATTAATATACAGAAATGGACCTGTAAATTTAAAAGCAAGTTTGAATAATTTATATTAGACCTGTTTTGATATTTAATATAAATGAAGATTCAATTTGACATGCAAAGAAAGAAAAATAAACAAAAGTGATTTTGATGATCTTATGGATACTATAGCCAGCTGGTACATATATAATTTTGGGGAAGCTACTGTATAAATAGAGGATATTCAAGTTTTTTCTATAAATACATGATTTATTTTCATCGAGTGGTATGAAAATAAATATTTCATGAGTGGCGGTAGCCACGAGTGAAATATGGTAATTTTCATGCCACAAGATGAAAATAAATCGTGAATTTATAGAAAAAACTTGAATTTTCTGTTTATTATATACATTTCTCTCTTTTTTGACATTAAAATTTGAAAGACTTTCCCTTAAATTTTGTGTAGTGGCAGAATTTAAAAGAAAGTAGTCCGGCAAGACACCAGTGAAAATACGGAAAATATGTTTCACTGCAGTGAAAAATAAATTTTTACAGTGAAAATACGAAAAATGAAAATATGCATTTTATTTCATCAATATTTCTCAATATTTCATTTATAAGTATATAATAAATATGTTTATGTCTGATTGAAATTTACCTCCATATTCAAGTTAACTTTTATTGTTAATTATCTTTAAAATGACTATCGTGCTCCTTAGGTACGAAAGTCTAATTAAAAACCTGAAAAAAAAAGAAACTACACAATGTACAAATAGTTTAAAACAAAGTCCTTATAGATCGATTTGATTAAAGATTACCATCCAAGATCTAGTTTATCTCTTTCAGATTTTAAAGATGAGAACATATTAATATCGGGAAAAAAATAGTAAAACAACTAAGACTTAATCATACGCATAAGTATTTTTATAATAAGTATCCAACTTATACATATGAAAATAAACTTTATTCGGATATTTGATCAAAATACACAAATACAACACCAGATCAATTAAGTTGAACATTTCCATTCTTCATTGTAAGAATATATGAGCCGTGTCATGACAAAACCAACATAATGGGTTTGCGACCAGCATGAATCCAGACCACCCTGAGCATCCGCGCAGTCTGATCAGGATCCATGCTGTTCGCTTACCAAGTTTATTACAAATAGAGAAACTGATAGCGAACAGCATAGATCCTGATCAGACTGCGCGGATGCGCAGGCTGGTCTGGATCGATGCTGGTCGCAAACCCATTATGTTGGTTTTGTCATGACACGGCTCAATTATATAATCTAGCTATTGTCTTAACATCTATGTTAACTTTACAGACAACAATATAGATATGTTTGTAATTTTAAGTAAATTGTGCTCTTATAGTTATAATGTTTCTGTTTTTTTTGCAGTAGTAACCTTATTTATTATAGGCATATAAACAAAATACTGAGAAATACTAATGTAACGAAATGAAATGCTTATTTTCATTTCCGTATTTATAATTTTCCCTGCAAAAAATATTTTACACTGCAGTGATACATATTTTCCGTATTTTCACTTTCTAGCCCACTTCTTCTACACAAAATTTAAAGGGAAGTCTTTCAAACTGTAATATCAAAAAAGAAAATAAATCCTGTATTCATAAAAAAATGAATATCCTCTCTATGTATCTGTGATTTTATATGTAAGTGTGACCTGTGATGTTGAAAAAAGAAAGAAAAAAAAAGGGAAAAAAAAGAATAAAAAAGAATTAATTAAATTAAAGTAGTGCTTTTCATATCCACGGCATATATAATGTGCACGTTTTGCTCGATGAGTCTGGACTCATATGTGTAATAATAATAATAATAAATGCATTAATGTAATGAATTGAAAAGTGGCGGCATAGCCGAGTGGTTTACGCGTCGGACTAGTAGACATGTAATCTAATGATCGCTAGCCGCATGGGTTCAAACCCCGTCAGGGGCCAGCCGTTGTTTCCTTGAGCAAAAAGCTTCACACTCATTGCCTAATACTGGTTGGTTCCAGGAACGGACTCGAAAGTGTGTCTATAAGCTTATAGCTTCCTACACAATCGAACTAAAATAAATTCTGTATAAACCAATGATAATGAATTGATACAACAATATTTTTTTTGAATGTTGCTTTCGCAACTCCTCTCGGTACGTGCACGTTGTTGAAAAGGCTTGCGGCACCGGCACTTAGTGGGTGGAAAAAACACTATATTTTCGGTACACATCTACACTATACCTCTACTTCGTCAATTACTTGAGACCAACTGCCGATGTCCTGGCTGAAGCCGTAGGGAGTGGCCTTAAAAAGTAGAGGATGGGCGTTAGGTGCAATGATGGCTTGAAAGGCAGGCTCAATATAACCCTTTTCAATGCTACCTTTCCATGTTGTCCAAAGTTTCCTTACGTGCTCATTGACCGCTGTATCAACGCTGTATTGATCGGCTCAAAATAGCACACCTTGGAAATTGCATGGAGCGGTAAATTATTATCACTTTGTGCTTCAAAATTAACCCTTTAAGGGATGACTGGTGATATGGACGGGCCTGTACTCGACAGCGAAAGCTGCTTTTTATGTGCCTTAACGGGCGGATGGACCTCGTTAAACATAGACTACAGACAGATTCTTCCTTGCGAAAGAAAGATTTTTCCTTAATATAGAAATATCGTAACATTATTACGGTTAATTATTTATATTTTGTCTAAATGTGCATATGAAATAACTCAATTTATAGTCTTGCAGAGATATTTTATGTCAATTCTTCATCTCATAATTTACTTAATTACTGCGCGCCATGAGTATTCCTTCATGTCATCATTCATTCCCATAGTTTATAATAAAATTATACTAGTTCAACTTAATTATCACTAAAATTTTGAATAAATCTTATTATTATATTATTTAGTAAATATCATTATATAAAATCAAACAGATGAATGATTACTTTAATGATAATCTAGCTCTTGACTTAAAAAAAGAAAGAAAAAAAGAAAGAAAAAACCTACTGATTTTAAATTAACAAATGGAGGATTTAAAAAATAATAAGTCTTTATTGCTGATATAATACACCTGCTAACTGTAATTATTAAAAAAATAAGAAGCCATATTTCCATATATTTAAAGTTTCTTTCAATAACAGCCACTTCCGTATTCTAGTCATCCCGTGTAAAATTATTACTTTATAGCTTTTTGTACAGACATTAAAGTTCGCATTGTAGCAGCATGCAGTGACTGGTACACATAACTTATACTACATTTTATTTGATTCAAAATCTATACCGGAGTTATGGGTCTTGAAAAGTGACATTGAATTATAATGAAATAATCAATCATGAATCAAGTTTCAAGTGAATACAATCTGTAGTTTTATGAAAGTTTAAAAGTTGCAACCAAAAATATTCTAACTTCACAAAGGACCGTAAATCAGTCGAAATTCATGCCAGAGTTATGGACCTTGGATAGTGACTTTAGATTATAATCTTGTAGACAGACATATATTAAGTTTTATCCAAATGCCTTCAATAGTTACGAAAATTGATGTTGCACGATAAAACTTGAACCTACAAATTTATAATTTCAATAGGCCATAATTCAGTCAAAATTCACGTGAAAGTGACCTTCAATTATAATGTATTAAGTTTAAAGTGAAAACCTTAAATAGTTTTTAAGATTGATGTTGCATGCAAAACTTAAAACAAGAATTTTCCTAGTTCAAAAAGGGTCACAATTCAGGAAAAGAATTTAAAACCGACTATAATTCAGTCAAAATTCTTGTTAAAAAATTGGGGTTTTTGATAGTGGCCACAGAGGCATGATTGTATTAAGCTTCAAGTGAATACCTTCGGTAATTGTTAAGATTAATGTTGCAGGCAAAATTGCACCCAAGAAATTCTAAGTTAAAAAGGTCTAAAATTCTGCCAAACCAATGCTAGAGCTATGGACCTTGAACTAGGCTACAAATATATATTATAAGTGTTTGAAGTTACACGCAATCATCATAAGTGGTTGATGAGATATGATGCTTCTTGCAACACGTAAATCAACGCGTTTCGCCGGCGCCGATGCACGGGCGAGTAGGATGACCCTACTATTCTTCGAAAATAATCCAGGGTCAGTTAACATGACAGCAAATAGATTTATTCTAAGAGGATTTCATCTGGACCCAATCAAAATTCAATTTTGAAATAAGTAACAATTTCAAATCAATCGTCCAATTACCGTGATACAGCCATATTCATTGAACCAGGATAATATCGGACTAAAACTCCAATTACTTAGGGATTGTACATTTTTTGCTCAATAATATTATGCATATTACCAAAAGATATTTATATGTATTTTTTACCACGGAAACTGGTTTACAATGGTATTGAAGACAGGCCATAAAGGATTAAATTAAATAATTAAATACATAAATATCATTTTTTATCACTTTATTCAAACTATGATTGTTTTCTCAACATTTCCCATTATGTATGCGGAGGTCATCTATGGCTGCATCACTAGCGAATCCCGCTCCAACCATCCCTTTTATAAGAATACGGAAACTGTTCGTCTGTGCCGGGATATAAATGCTACGTTCCCGCCATTGCTCAATTGTATCACCAGTTGCATAGTGTGCGAGCGTGTTTGCTCTACTTGTTGTTGCGTCCTAAAATTAACATTTATATTTATTTATTTATTTAAATTTTCAATTAGATGGATGAATTAAGCTAACAAGACCAACAGTGACAAGTTAAAAAGTCTAGCTTGATATACCATTTAAAAGAAGGGCGTTTTCGCAACTTTCTTCATAACTTACAGAAATGGCACTTGCACAGTAAAAAGTTCTTAGCTGTCACAAACAGTATCACCTTCAAATATTTTCAATTAGTCTACTTTACAACTTCATGAAGTCAGAGATACATGTATGCTGAAATATCTCAAGTAACTGTTTTAGTATTCTTTATAAATAAATAAAATTGTGTGTTGTAAAATGACCTGTACAATTATGTCAGTTTTGAGCTTCTCTTTACACAATTTTCAGGAACGCTGAAAGTTCACAATTTCAGGAAAATCGCACTTTGTTTTTCACAAATAAAAGAAGGTCCAGGCTTCTTTACAATTTAGGGGTAAAAGCCCTAATATATTATGCCATTATATATAGAACTTCAATTTTTTGTTCCAATTTATTTGAAGTCCAAGGTTCAAGTAGCATGAAATGTTCAATATGCCGTTCCACTATTAAGTGCTTTATTACTATAATTCAGTGGGTTTTTTTGGCGCGTGTATTTTGATAATGCATGGTCTAAATTAAAAATAAAAGATTCTATTCACAACTGGTAGCGAAACAACTACAACAAGACGGTTGAAATGTATGATTCAAAACTAATTATGAATCAACTAGACGAAAAGTATCCTTTAAACGTTTCTCAGGATAAATCTATAATGTATCGGCTTAATCGTCATTGTATATACATGTATAGAGTTTTCGTCCGCTTTTCAAGGAGTTACGTTTTGAAATTTGACCAATAGTTTCTAGACTGACATTTCACTAGATAAAGGCATTTAAAAATGACAGAGTCGCTTCATTTACTAAGGATACAAGTAATTACTAAACATGATGACCCAAAATAGAAATCAGACCATTTGTCTTTATAAAAAGTTGTACCTCTATATCAACATCAATTGAACCCATAGTATCACCATACATATTTGTTGCTAATTGGAAGCAGTAATCTTGACCAGCTGGGAGCTTCGGCGACTGGAGTACCGCAACCTCACCAGTACTACGGGGCTGTGAAGCCTCTATATACATGTAGAAGCCATTTCCTAAAAAACAAAAAAAAAGACGACAGCGATGTATTGTTCTTAATTCTTGTTAATCAATGCATTAATTAACATGACCCTGCTTTGAAAATTAGTTTTCGAATTTATGTTTGCTCGAAAAAATAATAAATTGTAAAAATCATAAGAATCATAAAAAAGTATCAACTTTAAATATTTGAAATATCAGTCGAAATTTATGCATTTTCTACAAATCATAGAGTTATGGTTGTGGGCAATTAAAGATAGTTGTGGTTCTTGTATGTTACATTTCCTTTCAATGTGGTTGACCATTGATGAAGTTTTGTTTAATTACTCTATAATTAGTCAAGAAAGAGTCACGCTTCTTGAGCACTGCACTTCTTCTCATTGCGCTTGACCATTGTATGAAGTTGTATTGAATTCTAAACATTAGTGTTTAAGTAAGGCACCGGACGAGGAAAAGGAACAAAGGGGAATAACTCTACAATACTGAAGATAGAGTAATGGTTATTGTACACTGCACTTGCTCTTATTGCGCTTGACCATTGTATGAAGTTGTATTAAATTCCAACTACTAGTTTCCAAGTTATGCACTGGACAAAAAGTAACAAACGGCAATAACAGTAATTAGGCCAAATAGAGATATGGTTCTTGTACACTGTACTTCATCTCACTGCCCTTGATTATTGTATGAAGTTTCATTGAATTCCAACCATTAATTTTCAAGTTATTCACTGGACAATAAAAAGTAACAAAGGGCAAAAGCTCTTAAATGAGTCAAGGAAGAGTTATGGTTTCTGTGCCCTGGGCTTTCCCTCAATATACTTGACCATTGTATGAAATTGTATTGAATTCCATCTAGCAGTTTTCAAGTTATGCTCTGGACAAGAAAAAAAACAATGGAAAAGTAACAAAGGGCAATAACTCTATAATTACTCTGGCCAGTTATGGTTCTTGTGCACTGCACTTCCTCTTATTGTACTCGACCATTGTATGAAGTTGTTTTGAATTCCAACCAGTACTTTTCAAGTTATGCTCCGGACAAGGAAAAAAACAAAGGGCAATAACTCTGTAATTAGTGAAATGGAGTTATGGTTATTATGCATTGCACTTCCTCTTATTGTACTCGACCATTGTATGAAGTTGTATTGAATTCCAACCATAAGTCTCGAAGTTATGCTCCGGACAAAAAAGCAATGGAAAAGTAACGAAGGACAATAACTCTGCAATTACTTTAGATAAAGCTATTATTCTTATGTACTGCAATTTCCTTTTTTGTGCTTGATCACTGTATGAAGTTGTATTGAATTCCAACCAGTAGTTTTCAAGTTATGCTCTGAACAAAGAAAATGCAACGGACGGCTGGACCGACCGACCGACCGACAACCGAGTGACTTCTTTATACACCCCAAACTTCGATTCGGGGGTATAATAACTCAATCTCTTGAAATACATATATACTAGTCAATTTAGCTAACTTAACAATGATAAAAAATACAAATGTAAGTATAATGTCAATTTAATCATATTGCCAAGATGATGTAAATGTAATTATATTCACGTACCACCGGGAGTAGTGTGATCCCCAGAAGGTCCAGTGTTTGAAGAAACAGTTGTACCAGAAAGTCTTGTCCAATCAAAAACATCCGTTTGACGTTGCGTCCATTTGCATGTATCGTGAGTAAAATCACAGTCTATATCCGAGACTAAAATTAAAACGAAATAAACCTTTAACCTGCAGCATTTTTGTATTGGATTTGCCTTACTTAAAAATCTTGATCAGTTTCTATCAAGTTTTAGGTATTTTGATACAAAATAAAAAAAAAGGAAAAAGAGAACAACCAACGGCATTCCTGGTCAGATTCCATGGAGGTACAGGATGGCCTGTCTGTTCTGATTAGATGAAAAGGTCAACCACTATATGAGCCGTGTCATGACAAAACCAACATAATGGGTTTGCGACCAGTATGGATCCAGACCAGCCTGCGCATCCGCGCAGTGTGAACAGGATCCATGCTGTTCGCGTACCAATCCTAAAATAAGTATAGAAACTGATAGCGAACAGCATGCATCCTGATCAGACTGCGCGGATACGCAGGCTCGTCTGGATCCATGCTGGTCGCAAACCCATTATTGGTTTTGTCGTGACACGGCTCATATATAGATTCTGGCAGCTTCAAGCGGACAAAATATGGACGGGGAAAACACTTACTTGTTTGCACTGCCATAATAACTTCCGGGCAGGTTTGTCAACCCACATAGATGTTTTTCGACCAAAATTAGAGCAATGTTACTATTGCTGTATCATAAATCTGGTCAATAAATCTCGATTATGTCTCAATGTATAAATAAATAAGGTTTCTGGGCTGTGTTTCACAGAAAGTCCTATATATGAAATAAGTTTTAAGACCAACTGAGACAATTTTGCCATTCAAAGAAAATCTCCGAACTTATCCCTCCTAATAGCAATGCTGATTAGCGTTTTACACACTGCAAACAATTAAAGGGTATGTCATTGTATTTCTTAATTTTCTCAGGAGAATAAATTTATTTATAGTTTGCAGTATTTGGCTGAAGATAAAATGTTTATTGGAACGGTCTTAAGTTAGTCCTAAAGTTGGTATGTCCTAGGACTTAGGATATACTTATAGGACTTTCGATGTGTCGCAGCCCAGAACAGCGACACTTTTCTGGCGTATGAATACAAAAAGTAAGTAAGATTACCGGTGCACGATGAATCACTTATATGGAGGTCATCAATGCCGATGTCCCCGTGATAGGACGATCCCACATCAGCTTCAATGATTATCTTGTAGTCGTTAGGAACAGTGCTCGCAGGTATGTTCGCTGAAGTGACGAACCAGTTTTGACCCTGATCGCCTGACTTGAAGAAAATTTGACGTCGTTGCTTCGTGCACTGATCCTAAAAGTGAATATGAACATATTTTTACTATTAAAACTGCATGGAGATGCACTAATAGCAGTTGCAGCAATCTGAGCGTGTTTTTATGCTGATGTTGTTGTTGTTTTGTCATATAGAGACTAATTTAGAGCTTGCAAGAAAAAGAAATTATTCTCACAGTTCTGATGTTATTTCTCCCACTGCAATTCAGCAACCAAGGATTACCAATAAGAACAGATAGATTCGTCAATTTACTGCGTCATAATTATTTGAAATTTTCCGAGAAAGATAAATATCAAACAGACTTCTGTAATGTAATTATACGCTGACAGTAAAATGCAAAATTCTAAATCATCAGATGAGCCGATCGATCGAGTGTTTTGGTCGATTGGCGATTAACGACAAAGGACAGCGGAACATTATAATTATGGAAAAAGTCTTTTAAATTCGCCTGTAGTGTAAACATCAGGCCAATATGTTGGCCGCCAGTGAAAAGTTATTTTCAGTTTTAAAGGTGCATTATATTATGCCTCAGAAATCCATATTTATAAAATTCTTTGAAAATATGAAACATATGTTGAATAATGTGTTAATAATTGCTGAGCATTTAACATGTTTAAAAACCGACATAATTATCACCGATTTCGCAGAAATATGTCGCAAAGGCAGCAAAATGTAAACAAAGCAGTACTTTTGACTTCCACACAAAATACTAATTCACTATAATAATAGCAATTGCCAGCAAGGCAAAAAAAAGTAAAGATAGTTCATCTATATGGCAAATGAGTAATTTTTGGAAAGTGTAACACATTCCAAAAATTAAAACTTTCGAGAAATGAAAGCATTTCTGAGGCATAATGGGCCTTTAATAATAATACTTCACAACAAACCTCTAGGAAAACTGTCAGATTTCCAGTCTCTGCACCAAACATATTGTAGGCAAAATTAAAACACATAGTTTGGTTAGCTGGAAGTGTATGTGAGACGAGATCCGCTTTATCTCCTCTTGTTCGAGGGGAAGATGTCTCAATATATAAATACATGTGGCTTCCTGAAGAAAACACAACAAAAATGAACTATATTATATCTTTTACTTTTATATTTATATGATATAGACAACATACACATGTAAACGTTTACTTGTTTGCTTACTGTTACATGTCTTTCTGGATTTTAAAGCTTTGGTTGTATCTCGGCAGTCGGGTAGTAGATCCACCTTAATGGCGTTCTTAGATAGCTAAACAGTAGTAACAATGCATTTCTCCACAAGCGACCATTTAACATAATGCGGAGATTTACACATAAGACGCGAATAGATCGAAAACTCCCTTGTTTTAACAAAGGCTACTGTTTGGAGTATCATATCACTAATTCTAAATGTTTTTGTTTCCTGGTGGAGTGATACCTCAGGTGACTCTTAGTGTTTTATTCTGGAAGAACCACCGTTTAATCTTTCAAGTGCCAGCTAAATAATTTCCCTTCATGAAATCATTCAAATTCCTTGATGATGCTCGAAAACGCAAAGGTAAAGCTTTTGTGAGCAAGACTTGGTGACTTCGACCATTCGGCCTCAGATTTCTATTGTGAAAAGGTTTAAAGACAAAAATAGAGATAGAACACCACATATTTCGTATACATTCTTTTAGCTCAGTTTTTTTACAACTCGGTGACAATAATTTCCCACATGCTTTTCAAAAAATTCTGTCTCGCTGATGATGCACTGCTGTATCACGGTATTTCACATAGCTTAATTGTGACAAGAATATAGGAATAAATATCATAGCATTACCACTAGAGGACTGGGTATGGTCAGTTAAAGGCCCAGTATTATCCGACTGGGTAGGCCCAGAATGTATCGTCCAATCGAAATCGTCAGTAGAGGGCTGCGTCCAACCGCAGTAATCACCATTGTCAAAAGTACATTTGTCATCAAAGCCGGTGGCTAAGTAAAATGAATGATATATTATTTCCGGGATAATTGTTTCAAAGAAAATAAACAATTTTACTAAAAAAAGAATTTAAAAAAAAAATAAATAAATAAAAATCTAGCAATAGCATTAGGTTAACTTAATTTTCACATACTTCTTCCAGCATGAGTTCGTCGAGGGGACAATAAATAAATGGCGAATTAACGTACGTAGAGGGGACATTAAATAAATGGCGAATTAACGTACGTAGAGGGGACATTAAATAAATGGCGAATTAACGTACGTAGAGGGAACATTAAATAAATGGCGAATTAACGTACGTAGAGGGAACATTAAATAAATGGCGAACTTAACGTACGTTGAGGGAACATTAAATAAATGGTGAATTAACGTACGTAGAGGGGACATTAAATAAATGGCGAATTAACGTACGTAGAGGGGACAATAAATAAATGGCGAATTAACGTACGTAGAGGGGACATTAAATAAATGGCGAATTAACGTACGTAGAGGGGACATTAAATAAATGGCGAATTAACGTACGTAGAGGGGACATTAAATAAATGGCGAATTAACGTACGTAGAGGGGACATTAAATAAATGGCGAATTAACGTACGTAGAGGGGACATTAAATAAATGGCGAATTAACGTACGTAGAGGGAACATTAAATAAATGGCGAACTTAACGTACGTTGAGGGAACATTAAATAAATGGTGAATTAACGTACGTAGAGGGAACATTAAATAAATGGCGAATTAACGTACGTAGAGGGGACAATAAATAAATGGCGAATTAACGTACGTAGAGGGGACATTAAATAAATGGCGAATTAACGTACGTAGAGGGGACATTAAATAAATGGCGAACTTAACGTACGTTGAGGGAACATTAAATAAATGGTGAATTAACGTAAACAAAACAATATGTAAACATTTAATACTATTAACAATTGCAATCTATATTTTCATATGCATGTATAGATATATTAAATTTTCACAAAATATATACTATATAAAATATATTTATAATATTATAATGTGCATGATTAGTATAACGTTAATTGTTGGTGGATTTACGACCACAACCCTACCAAATATCATCCGCCATCAAATATTCACGTCTGATTTCAGCGCACATATTTCTTAGCAACTAAACAATCAGAGTAAAGATTCAACCTGCTATATTTTATACAAACAATTAAATCTTCTTTAAATACCTACCATTTATTTTTACGTTGATAGTTTTAGTAATATTACTTAGACCATTTGATGCTGTGCAAATATATGTTCCACTATCACCGGATGTTGCATGCGTTGTAACATGTAAAGTTGGACCTATAAATATCAAGAGTAAGGGCTCATTCGAAAGCTTATAAACAGAAAAATCAAGTTTTTTCTATAAATACAGGATTTATTTTCATCTTGTGGTATGAAAGTTATCATATTTCACTAGTGGCTACCGCCATTCATGATATATTTATTTCAATACCACACATGTACAGATTGGATACACAATTTGTTAGTAATTTTTTTCTATGTTTGAGAAAAAAAGATAAAATCATATCACCACAATATTATTATGCTGTTTCATAAAGATAATTAATACTAAACTTGGAAAAACTAAACAGAACGTATATTTATTTATTTATTCATTCATTCATTCATTCATTCATTTATCAATTTATTTGTTTATTCATTCATTCATTCATTCATTCATTCATTCATTCATTCATTCATTTATTTATTTATTTATTTTGAAACCCGCTATAATATACCTTCCAGTCAGCTGTACCTTCAAAACAATGCAGTCTGAATCTATTCTTTACTACAATGAATACATAATTTTAATATTTGACACTAAAATCCTTAAAACTTTGGATCAAGGGACATCACTCCAAAATTCGAAACCAGAAGTCCCATGACAGCAGAATAAAGGTTGAGTCTAAAATAATGTAACTTATAATTTTTACAAACAAATTTTGACAATCAAACACCTTTATATACAATATCATACAACAACATACTCTACCGAATAAGTTATTGCGGCAATTATTATGCAAATTCACAGTTATTATCAAATCGTGTAACCAATCTGGATGCGCAACATTTCATTTACCTGATACCTATAAAAGCACGTGCAAAATACAATATACTAGTAAAAAAAACCCAAAAACAATATTTAGCGTAACATCAACCTAAAAAAATTTGGAAGGAAATACGTAAAATAAAAATCAACAGCAAGTGACATTAGCAAAGAGGAATGTTTTGAACATTTCAAAACTTTTTTTTTCAGTTAACAATGTATATATAGCAATGATAGCGCAGAGAATATTTGGGCTAAGGTTTGTTCTAAAGTTATCCCTCAGAAACGGAAAAAGCAATATCCTCATTAAAGTGTGGGGAAAAGTGGAGGTGCTGATAATTTAATAAGTGAGATAAGTGTAAAGATATTAAAATGTGCTCACCTGTACTCAACTGGGTGATTCCGCCACATGAATGTTGTTTAGACCAGGTGATTGAAGGGGGCGGAGAACCAGTGACATTACAAACAAGGTCAAGAGGCGAGTTCGCAGGGCTAGTAATATACTCTTGAGCCGGACCATCCAAGTTCAGATTTGCTATGAAAATAATAATAATAATAAAAAGAAAAAACTAGAAATAATCATTTGTATAAATACTCAATTAACCTGAAACTTTATATTCATTATACATGTAGTATTAGAATATATATAGTTTTTCCCTTGTTTTTATGCTGTAGTAAAATACAATATCTCATGCAATCGAAATATAAAGTAGAATATATACAATGTGAACATACCTCTGCACTTTCCTGTGTAATACTCCAGGTCATCTATTGCTGTGTCCCCATGGGTACCCGACCCTCGGATGGATTTCAGGACAATTTTATAGGGGTTGCTTAGAGCTGGTATGTTAATCTGCGCTAAATGCCAAACATTTAGTTGATCATTTGCCAATGTCAACTTATCATGTATCGATTCCGAACAGTCTTTCAGTCTTTCCTTAAACATAGCACAAGTCAGAGCATCTCTATTTCGTGAAATTTGTTTTTCATCAATCATTTGGTATAGATTTTTAAACAAATATAAATTGTGCTGAACAAGGCTTTCATCACTTGCCAGATAGAAAAAATCCTTATTCCGATTTTATATCCTATATTGATTAGCTTATGTTACGGCATTTTAGGATAATTTATTTGTTCTTAAAGAAAATTAAATCTGCTTTTACAAGTCTTGAATAAGGCATGTGGCTGTATATGTTTTAATAATTCTACCTTTTTTATTCTAATTTTAGGAGGCATGGATCGGGACAAAGAGAGGGTTGCTTCACTGGCGAAGGAAGGCGTATGGTGAATATCTAAGTATTTCCTCTTTTATAAGTATGCACTTCAGTAGAATTATCAAATTAGTTTAAGAGATAAGTTTGAACATGAATTTTGGCAAACTCACCACTGTTTCAACTTTTAGGGAACCTATTTCTTGTCCATGCATGTTATACCAGAATGAGAAACAAGCCTGGCCAGATGACGGTAGTTCCGGTGATGTCAAATAAGCCAAAGATCCCGGCTGATCGAAGCTACTTTCAATGTAAGCATAAACACCTGCACGTTAAAATTAACAAAGCATAATATTTGATAACATTCTTGTTAAAAGACTAAAATAATAAAAACATACATGTATCTGAAAGATGATTTAAACATATGAGACATGGTGTTTTTCAGTTCTGGTTCATAGCTCATATACACACATCGAATGGCCTTTCCCATTTGGAATATTTAAATTTAAAACATCATCATTTGCATCGTCATTGCCGCTCTCGTTATAACTATCCTTGTAATCATTATTAGTGCTCGCCAATTTTTTTAAGCCAATCACCGACGAGGATTTTTCAAATTTTCAGGTTACAAATCTTAATAGAACAGATTTTATATAAACTGGACGTTTTATATTAATATTATAAAACGCAAGTGGGCGGAGCACTAAGCCGGTTAGAGTTCATATTGGATGTTCTTCGTAAATAAGAAAGCTACAGTCGCTTCGCAAGCTCCGCTCCTTTTTAGCTTTCTTATTTACGAAGAACACCCAATATGCACTCTAACCTATACTTAACTTCTTACCATCTTTATCGTCAATATTGTCATATTTATCGCCAGCATCGTCTATATTGCCTGTCATCGTTTTAATAATCATCATCAACACCCATAATCATAACATCGCCAACAATAACTATCATCATCACCATCAGCGACGTAAGTAAATTTATCATATATTATATTACTTAATGAAATAAGTTTTATCTAAAATATAGAAATTATTTTATAGTACATGTATTTGAAAAGGTAGCAAAAAGTACAAACCATTGCTGTTTCCTTTTGTATGGTCATTGTTAGGACCAGTATTTCCGGTCGGTGTTTGACCTTTATTAACCTTCCAAGTACCAGTGCTTGACTGGTTGGTTTTCCATAAGCATAGATCATTATTCTCAAAGTCACACGAGATAGCTGATGGGTCTATAGTATAGAAATAATCACATGTAGGATCAAACATCTTTATTAGCCATGGATATGGTTCATATCTCTAGATTGATTGTTAAAATATCAATTGCTATCGTGGACACAAGGAAGCTTGTACGATTCTTTATTATTGAAAATAACCCATATGTATACGTTATTGTTTTAAAAAAATTTAACAAATTTTTTACAGCGTTGTTCAATTAAAGGCTTTTCTCAGAAAATGTCCAGGAACAAGGTAAGAAATTAACATAAGTGATTGACATTTATTGTAAAGGTATTGAACTAAACTTAGCTCTGACCTTGACTCTTGATCACAAATGTTTTTGAAGAGGAGCCATACTGGTTGCTGACCGTACAGGTATAGTTACCAACCTGAGAGGGCTGCAGACTGTTGATGTAATAGTTCGGATCTGAAATAATATTACTTGTTATATTATATATTAAAGTAAAACCTGTATCACATGTCCCAAATGAGGAATGCAAATCAAGGAGGATTGAGGAATGTAAATCAAAGAAGTTCTGGTTGATAAAGGGGACCTCTGTAGTTACAACGGTAGGTGGTATGTAATGCCAAATAAAAGGCTTAGAAGATTATTTGTGTTCTTTTAGTGGTCGTATTAATGTGAAGGTTTCTTATGATTAATATTTCACCGTATCTTACAGTACCACCTCACCTTTCAGTATTTTAACAGATTGACAACACGGGTATAACAAAAAAGAAAGACCTGGATTTTCCTATAATAAAATCATATGTATAGAGGCTATAACTTTAATTGAAATGAAGGTTTAGAATTTGACATTTGACCACGGTCAGGATAAAATTGTAATCCACTTTCAAATGATAAATAGAGCTCAGATGTATCATTTGTTTAAATACAGTATGGAAGTTATTAGCATAAATTTAAATGAAGTTGTTTAAAGTTTGAATTATTGACCCCTAGGGTTCTTCCAGTTTTTGTCTCAGGAGTCGATCTCGGAACAAGCTTGATAACATATGAACGTTGTAGGCCATGTTATAGGTCATGTGGTTCTATGGAAAGAGATTTTTAAGTTTTCATTATTCTACCTATGAAATTTACCCAAGGGTCATGATTTGTACAAACTTGGTACATTCACTTAGTAATTCTTCATGCAAAATATCAAAGATATGTGCTTTATAGTTCCGCAGAAAAAGTTTTCCCTGTATGTCTATATATAAAACTATGTGTCCCAAGTACAAGGTAAATTTGATCTAAAGGGTCATGATTTGAACAAGCTTGTCAGAGGTCCTTTGGGTAATGCCTCCTGCTAAATATCAAAGCTCGGGTCTTAATGTTCTGGATAAAAAGATTACTTTAACCATTTTCCTATAATGTGTTACAGTTGCCATTGCAACCAGCTTTATTAACGAAATCAATTATATTTAATCACTTTGTAAGTCCTTCCCCAAGAAACATTTCTACCAAGTTTAGTTGACATCAGTTTACTACACATGTATGACTTATATTGTATATAACGGACACACGAACATACAATAAGTAAATCATTTTATGCCGCCGTAAATGCTGAGGTGGCATAAAGCAAGTTTGTAAAATATATTGCTGACATACATTTAAGACAATGTTGTTTGGAGCTCAAACTCTTCTTTTCTCGCATAGATAAGATATAGCATGCGTTGGTGCTCACTTATGTTAAGTTCATGGCATCTTGATTGCCCTTACCTGAGACGCTTTGACATGGGTTTGGATCTGGTGTGGACCATGTGATTGTAGGAGGGGGTGACGTCGAGTTGCTGTCACACATAAGGCGAACAAAAGATCCGAGTCTGTAATAATTGGTCTCATTTAGTGGCTCGAATGTGTCTATCACCGGCGGCTCTGGCGAATGAAAGAAAATTTTACCATCAAATTTCTTTATTTGTATTTATCAATTTTGTCTTTAGACTTTAAAGTACATATGCACTGTCACTTATCTATACACTGTCACTTACTTACACATTGACTTATCTATGCACTTTCATTTACTTATACTGCTTATTTCTTATACATTGCACTTACGTATAAACTTGAACTTACTTATACACTTTCACTTAGTTTCAATGTACACTTTACTTACTTATGCACATGCAGTCTTTTTGAAGCTGTATTCCAGGAGGTCCTCGTGGCCCTGTAGCTCCTTTCTCCCCCTTTAGCCCAGCAATACCTTTGACACAAAAAGATTGTAATATATTAAATTAATTAGTTACAAGCTATTTCTAGCAAATATATTCAAAATAACCATGAATATTTAAGTGTCAGCTGAAGATTGTCATTGGTCATCAATAATTGCATTTAATCAAATAGGACGAATTGCATTGATCCACGTGCGTAAAAATTGCTATGCAAGCTAATTAAATTCCGCTCGAATAATATTCAGTGTTTATATAAACCAAATGCGGTTTTATACAAGTCCTTTTCCGCTATATCATCCGTTTCAATGCATGTAGTCAATGAAGATAAGGTTTCCAATAAATATGTTATATGAAGAGAAACTTACATAAGTCTTTTTTTATTTATTAAATGAATATAATAGAAACATAAAAAACATACCAGGATAACCCTTTGCTCCATTAAGACCTGCAGGTCCCTGGCTCCCCTTTTCGCCTTGTAATCCCGGATCACCTTTTTGTCCTCTCAGACCTGGTTCCCCTTTCGGGCCCGCAACTCCTGGTTCTCCCTTCAAGCCATTTAATCCTGCGGAACCTTTAGGTCCCGGTTCCCCTAATTTTATATAAAAAATGTAGCTTTAAACACAAAGTTCAACAAAGCAAATGAAATTTACAAAAACAGTTTTCATATGTAGGTAGAATAGTTAAAAGAAATAATTGTTTGAAGCTGATCATGAACAGTTTATTGCTTCCAGATTTGACATTGAAATTAAGATATTCTTTTATAATTTTGGATATATTTAATATGGTAAGGCTCACACTTATTTCATAATGAAAGGAAATGCATTACAACACCGGAATATACCATTCCATCTATTCGATCTCTCTTGAATGTTATTGCCTTATTATGGTTTAGGTTATATCTGTCCATATTAAAGTCTTTAAGAGATTTAGCCGATCCAAAAATAGATTCGAAAACTAGTACAATAGATTTTTTAATGTCAACGCTAAAATGAGTACACCCAATTTAACCCTATTTTGCATGACCAGATAGACTATCTTCTGTTGATATAAGAGCATAATCTAAAACATGCCTTTGAAACCATCAGTTCCTCGCTCGCCCTTCACACCCTTTGGTCCTGGGTTTCCCTTTTCTCCTTTTTGACCTGGCAGCCCAGTGTCTCCTTTAGCTCCTTGCGAGCCTAGTACGCCAGGTATTCCAGGAGTTCCTGGTAAACCAGCATCACCTTTGAAACCCCGATCACCCTTAACACCTGCAAGATAAACGGACCTGTAATCACTTTATGTTTTAGGGAAAAAAAATTCCTTAACCATTTTCGAAGTCTCGTTCACTGTCCATTAACATCATTACATAACACATATCAACAATGCTGCCATACTGAATATGATGCCCATTACTTGTATAATGTATAAATATTCAAGTTAATATATAAACAATGCTACCGTACGGAATATGATGCACATTACTTTTATAATGTATAAATATTCAAGTTAATATATAAACAATGCTACCGTACGGAATATGATGCACATTACTTGTATAATGTATAAATATTCAAGTTAATATATAAACAATGCTACCGTACGTAAAATGATGCACATTACTTGTATAATGTATAAATATTCAAGTTAATATATAAACAATGCTACCGTACGTAAAATGATGCACATTACTTGTATAATGTATAAATATATATGTAGATGAGTATTGATATACAAATTGAGCCTCTTTTGTTGTTTGCTTTATATATGTAATAATATAAACATTGGGAAATCTTTATTTAAAGAGATAAACATTTGAACAGCATGAATTCATACAATATCAATACAGTTTAAATATATGTAAATTTGAATATCATCAAAAGAAGGAATGTACTCGTCGATATTGCATGGATTTTTTTGCTATTCAGTCTTTTAGAAATATATGTAAACTACGGTTCACATCCATGAAAGGTTTTCATGATCCTACCGCATGTATTTAGGGTAAGAAAATGTGCAAGAAACTTACCTGGTACACATAATTTTACTGTATCATTCAAACAATGTGCTAACAGAATCTTCTCCTAAAATGACAGATCAAAGTCAAAATTATCCCTCTGCTGCAATAAGGGGGGGGGGGGGGGGGGTTAAAACGCATAAGTGGTTATAATTAGTGTGAATATAACTTTTATAACTGTTGAATCTGACGTCAAAATTCAGAGTTGCCATGATAACTAATACTAAGCCCTTACTTAAATATGCAAATCGCAATCATTACTATATACCGTCTATAAATTTCATTATTGCTGATTTCTTAATAAACTTTTTTGGAACTGTCCTTGTCAGAGTTTTAGGGATGTCAAGATAGGAATTTGAAATGAGCCAGTCATCAGAATCATGAGTACAGATCCTGATCAGACTGCATGGATATAAAGACTAGCCTTACTCTAAACTGGTGGTAAAGGTTTGTCAATTTCGATTTCAGCAGGTTAAGTAATAAATCCAATTGATTTTATATGAACAGAACCCCATTTCTCTGCCAATACCTATCAACAAAAGATTTGGAGCTCAGACAGACAGCACTTGAGGAACTGAAACAGTCTTTGTCAATATACTTTGGCTTATTAACAGCTTGCGACGTATTTGTTAAATTGTAATAATGCACGGTGGACCAAGTAAGTTGTTTAACAGTCTAAAATTGCTAAATCCTCATTTTACATGTTTTAAATCTTTTAAATTTAAAAACGGCATTTCTAAAATGTTGGGTTTTGATAATAACATATTATAATAATTATATATTCAACACATACCTACCTGACAACGATTTAGATGAAAGTAAATTAGATTTTTAATCTAATGACGTTTTTATTTAAAAGAATCAATTTCTCATCCGCCACAACTAAGGAAAAAGTAGAATACTGTATGAATTATGGTCCTTAACAAATTTTGAATTATATTTTTGTTTACATACACATGATTAAAAATCAACAAATTGTTATAAAATCACATTAAATAGGTCTACATTAATTTTATCACTTTTACATGTATAATCATTATTTTTCAATTTAAAGTGATGACGCAGTTTTGTTGTAAACATACATTTAAAATCTTTGAGACTAACAGTTAACATACTTTGGTCTATGTTACATTACCTGGGCGACCATCATGTCTGTTAACATCTGCTGAAGGTCTCGCTTGTGACGCCCATCTTTCTCTTCTAAAGGTTCCGGCTCTTTGTTGTTAAGAACCTTCAATTAAAATCATTAAAGAATGAATAAACACTAGTACACTGTTACACACATTCTTATAGGGGTATAACATGCAGACTTTCTTTGTTATTAGGTCAGTGCTTTTATTTCAGTGTTGCATCAATCATTTTAGGTTAATTAAGTCTTTGAGCAGTATCAGTGTTCATTGGTAAACCCTTTACCTGATGGAATTGCATAATAGAATTGCCCAGTCGTTTGTTTGGAACAATCCATTCCAATGCTTATAGATTTAAATTTCAAAATAAAAAATCAAGTTAACAACAGTATCGAGCTTTGAAGACTGCACAAATGTGCCGCCAAGCCTTGCGAAGGCTAATCACTTTTCGTTCCAGCAATTTCCGGGTAAATTCTAAGCATTTTGATATTGAAATAAAGTGAAATTTAGATAGAAAATCAGCTGATATATCAATGCAATAAAATACGGCAAGAGAATATTTAAATTGATAAAATTGAAAAGTGTCTAGGAGTATGTTCCATGAAATAAATTATTAGTTATCTATTAAATACTAGTATGCTTAATTTTATAGCTTCATTTGTTAAAACCTAAGTCATTGACATATTCATAAAATATGATTTCAAACCACACAAATTATCATTCCACATGTATGTAAACTACAAAACAAATTATGTCATATAATTAAGTTTAATAGCAGTAACCGACAGTCCCCACCGGCAAACCTCATTTATGGATTGTTAATTATTATTTTACGAAATATATTCTTAATTCTTTGGAAGTCTGTAAACTTACCAAAACAGAATCCGGCGATTCTTGTAGACTAAATTTGAAACAATCTGTCTTCAGTTGAACTAATTCTCTTTGACTTTGTTCATACTTCTCCTGAAGATCTTTAGTCCAAATAAACTGGAGAGAAGACATTTACTACTTTTAGTTCAAGATTCTCGAAATATAACGGTAGAATAATTTCATTATGATTTGTAAATGATCAATGATACATATAACATTACGATGGAGAGTAATGAAATGAAAATACAGAAATAGTCAAGTTGTGTCGGTACAATAAATTGAAAAGATAACTTTTAATAATAATATGATAATTATCAAAATTTTGTTGTAAAGAAAATACGGGTAATAGTTTTTGATGAGACACCATTTATAACTGATCAGACAAATTCAAACAAATAACTAAGGAACAGTAATTTTTTAATAGATAATGACATACGCCCAGACTAAGCCTTGCATGTAGCTTGAGAACTTAACCTGTATGTGAAGTTAACAGTACTAGCAGAAATACTTATATTACTTTTTATTCAGCTGGACAAATATAGTATTAATAAACAGTACTGTATTTAATGTTACACGTTTTCTTCAGAGCTCTGTTTTTCTGCGTAAAACACTTAAAATGTCCAAAGCGTGCATTTTCAAAATTCTTCAGTATACATGTTTCCCAAGGAGTGGTGAGTCATGCAAGATCGAGCAAATTCTTGGAATCAAATTTAACTACATATTTTCATTTATTTGATATAGAATAATATCAGAATTGCATGTTAAATATGATGGTAACTAATATATGGCGATTGTGCGAAAAAAAAATCGTTTTGAGTCTTATCTCACCGATATGTATACATGATGGAAATTAACTTTTATCGGAATGATAAGGATATCGCACTTTAAGCAGTTTTACCGCATAAAGAAGCATTGCATAATAACGAAACTCCCATTTTGCAATTGCAACTGTGTCAAGTTTTCTTATCAGAACATTTTCATAATTAAGAACTGTAGATTCAATAATAAATGACCCTGGTAAAACCAATTTTTATATGAATATTTTACTTCTTTGTTTCTAACTTTACGGTAAATGTGAAAATATATTGGATATTTCTCATCAATACTAAAACATAAAGTTGTATTGCTGTCATATTTTATGATTTTATTATCATAAAGATAGAAAGATATTCTAAAAGTGCTTTTATATGAACACATGGCCATCAGTATTATTTTGTCACCAACTATCCTATATGAAAACAATTTCAGAACAAACAAAAAATACAATAAAAGAAATTTTATAAAAAAAAAAATGAATAAAACGTTAACAATTTTGTATTTTGAATGAATTTCTTTACTGTTTTACAAAATTGCCATGCTCATTTCAACCTGTTTGTCCTGATCTGACTAGAAACCTAGAATACATGAGTAAATTCGCAGAAAGTATACAACTAATGCCAGTAATGGTTCATTTTCTACTTCTCTTCTTTTGGTCAAAGGTCTTCTTAACGTTATATTCTATTTACACTCTTCATCATCAGCATATCTACATAAAAACCAAAGGTCTTAACAAATTTATTTGTCACTTTCTAAGAAGCCCGTGAAGTCTTTATTTTATAGAAAACCATCATCATAGACGTATGTAGGAGCTGAGGTCCAAGAGGTCTGAGGACCAAGAAAATTCTCAACCAAATCAATTAAAGTTATTAAGCTTAATTTCAATCTAAATTTTCATAAAAGAATTAACATTACCTGAACCACAGCAGTAGCGGTGAATATCACCGAAATTATGACCAGCAGCACGGCGGATACATTAATACCTTTATTTGACCTCTTTTCTTCCATGATTTTCTGTTCGGATAGGTTGAATTAGCTTTACACCATGCCAACATATAAATATAAGTCCCGATAAGAAAACAAGCACAAGAGGTCAAATTTTAAGGTAATTCATAAAACTTTATCGTGATTGTTGTAGTCACGTGTCTGAACTGTCCTAATTAAGTATAATAATAAAAGGGCAAATTATTGACAAAATTAGGAAGGAATTCAATTATCTGTGATTATGAATTTACGGTCCGTGTTCTGCAGTTTAGTCTGTTTGGTTTTTTAAATTATACGACAAAAATATTACTTTTAAATTGAAATATAACATGATATTATTTTTGTCACTTATTTAACCTCATCATCATTCTACAATGTATACTATACTGTTAGTAATATGTGTATTGGTAACTTAATTGAAAAACATTAATATACCGATATTACCTTCAATGAGGATGTTTTAGAAAACGACCGTTAAATACCAAGTTAAAGTGTATCAAAATAAATGTGGGTTTTTGAATGTGATTTTTTTTAAAAATCTGTTTACTGATGCAAGGCTTTGTACACCATTCTAATGGATGTGAATGGTACTAAAGTTTTGAATGGTTGTTGAGATAAAGTCTAGACAAAATCATCAAATGATATAAAGGTGTGAAAGAAATATATAAGACATCGAATAACCAGGACAAATTACTGATATATGCAGCTTCTCTTAGTTGAAATGCTTCCATAAATATGAAGTTTCGGTGAATTCCAATAAATTATCGTTAAAAATAAATAAATACATGTATGTACATTATTGATATATTTAATTATACCGGCAATGTAAAATGGAATGGTCCAAAACCCATGATAAAACCACAAACATTGATAAGTTATGTTAATAGGTAGGCCTAAAGACTCAAATGTCCGAAATTGAAACCTTAAAGGTACATTTTATTGAGAAACGAACACATTTTATCTTTCTTAGAAATGGTAAATATGTAATAATTTAATAACGTTAATGTAATGGTTTAAGGTCATGTTGAATGTTTATCACCAGACGAAAGAAGCATTGAATGTCATAAATTGTGAACAAAGTAGAACTTTGTCTTCCATACAAAATTCAAAACCACTTTAACTGTAATAATTGCCATAAAGGATCAGAAGAAAAATATGGTTAAATATTTAAATATGGTTATTTGGCTAACTATAACAGGATAACTAAAAAATAATTGCTTTTGATAAGTAAAAATAAAAGCATTTCTAGGCCAAATAAGTCTTTAAAGAACGCTCAAAACGGCAAAATAGAAAATGTTGCTGACTCGGTTTGATTGAGCGTGTTCATGGGCAGTAGTAGTAAATGCAAGCTACCTTCTACACCCCAAACTCCGAAATAAGAAGATGAATATGATGAAATTATATATAAAGTAACATCCGCAGATATAATCATATAGTGATTTTTATTGATCCTTAAATGTGACATGTTTTAGCCATTATTCCATGTAAAGCGGCGTATTGTTAAGAAAATGCGCATGTCATAAACGAGATATAACAATAGGCCGAACAAAATAAAATGGAACTTTAAAAGAGGATTATGCATATCTCAGACAAAACATCAAAAACAAATGTAAAAAGCAGATATCTTAAGAGTGGTTAAACAGTATTCAAGAATTAAGCATGATCATTTGCGCTCCCATTATGGCCAACATCATCATTATAACAACAACAAAAATAATATTAATAATCATCATATACTTATATTTAGCTTGTGAATGCTTGGTGCATAAAATGATTTACGTTGCTGCACTTTGTTTGGTTTTTCGTTCATTAAATGCTGCCTTTCCTCTAAGATTAATTTTGAACCATTCTAAATTCAAAGCAGATCCACGCAATAAGGTGTTTTTGTTTTTTTTATAAATAAAAAAATACTGTGGATTTTAGGCTATTGAGTATTAATCTTTACCATCGTGTATATGTAGCAAATTCCCACTTTGTTGTCAGAGAAACATTAATTATCATTATAGGAGTTAGCACTGTATTACGTAGTCTTCCTGGGTTCCGAAAACCAACAAAAACTATTTATAAAAAAGAAAACTTTTTAAAGACTACCATGCAATCATTCTATAACTGATTTGGAAAAGTAAACTGAAGGTCCGGTGTTGGGCTAATTGATTAAATGCATGCGGTAGTGTCTTGAAAGATGGACACAATAGGATGCTATTAAGACAAATTTGGAGCTAGTTCATCTTTTGGTGACTTTAACATTTCAATAGTACTCCTATTTAAGTTCCTTTTGCCCGTAAAAGCTTAATGAAGGGTCGAAAATTGTATTTATTTATTTGTTGGCGCAAAAACGTTTAGATATTTTAACTTTTCTGACCCCTTATTCGGCAGAACAAAAGCAATTTAAAGTAACTCTTATTCAATAAGAAACTACTCAATAATATGTAAGACATACAAACAAGGCCGAACTACTGATATACAGAAATATTTGTTTTCTTAGCAGTACTCTGTGCTTACTTCAGACTAAATCTCAACTCTCGTAACATGCCTGGTAAAAACAGTGTCATGATACTGTTATGACAAGTCAACTGGTAGGTGATGAAAGAAGAGTTAAAAAAGACTACTTTGAGCATCTATTTTATTTATTTTACTACATTCTAGTGAGGAAAAGAGAAAAAGCCTGTACGAGTATAAGTATATAAACAATTTATTATTTCAATCAAAGTATAGCGACAACACTGAATTCTGTGAAACAAAACATAATTGTACACTTTCTATTTTCTTCTTTAGGATATTGTGTAAAAACTTTTGCCAGGGTCACCATTTGTAGACTATTTAAAAGTTCTTATTCCTTTAAAAATGACACTATGCAATGCACAAAATCATGCTTACATCACGTATATTTGTATATTTTATCTAAGCCATTTGTGATGACATGGATAAACAATAATCATCCAAACTTTGTACTGCGTGAACATTGATATTGACCCCATTTCCATTTTCCTTTACCAAAGGGATGTTAAAGGTCAGTTCATCAAGTTCATCAGGCCCCATCGCAACAAACGCTTGCACCTACAATAACATATAAATACAAACTGATTAAATTGTCATAACATTAAAAATATTGACGGGCATTACTCAAAAAATACAGCTTACGAATCGACACGTAAATAAGGTCTGTCTAAACTAAACTCATGGTCTCCGAATTTGTATTTGATGTTGAAATTCCTTGAACAGTGGAGATGTAATTCTTTAAACAGTAGACATACTAATCATTAATGTAATATAGGGAAAGGCCAACGATAATGTTGTTAGAACTTTTGGCCCAACCCTTTTGTATGTACACTTGATTATGTCCGTAAAATTATGAAATTGTATATTGAGTGTATATTTATACAATAAAATATTATTAAACTAAATCAATGTAATTCAAACTAGGTTGAAAACACAAATTAACATTTTTACGACATAATAAGACTTACAGTATTTCGTTAGTTTACTAGTATACATATCATTTGATTTTAGACTGATAAATTATGCTTTAACAATCTGATCTGAAAAAATAGTTTCTTGAATTTTAGTCTCTATCATTTATTCATTTGATCAGCAGCATGCCAACTATCTGTCATTTTTATTCAACATTTCCGTTCTAAACATGTTAAACAATAAAGTTTTGTGGCTCTCCCTCCTTCTTATTATCTTATTTCCGTCGACAAAATCATTACAGAAAGCATTTGCCTCTATCAGGAATCAAAGATCCGTAGACTGATCATTGTCCAAACTGAACAATTCAGCCCATATAGACCTATCATTGTCCAAACTGAACAGTTCAGTCAATATAGACCGATCACTGTCCAAACTGAACAGTTCAGTCAATATAGACCGATCATTGTCCAAACTGAACAATTCAGTCAATATAGACTGATCATTGTCCAAACTAAACAATTCAGCCCATATAGACCGATCATTGTCCAAACTAAACAATTCAGCAAATATAGACCGATCATTGTCCAAACTGAACAATTCAGCCAATATAGACCGATCAATGTCCAAACTGAACAATTCAGCCAATATAGACCGATCATTGTCCAAACTGAACAATTCAGCAAATATAGACCGATCAATGTCCAAACTGAACAATTCAGCCAATATAGACCGATCATTGTCCAAACTGAACAATTCAGTCCATATAGACCGATCATTGTCCAAACTGAACAGTTCAGTCAATATAGACCGATCATTGTCCAAACTGAACAATTCAGCCAATATAGACCGATCATTGTCCAAACTGAACAATTCAGCCAATATAGACCGATCATTGTCCAAACTGAACAATTCAAACGATGTATACTCAGATGATGCACAGTGACCAATAATTGATGATTGAGAACTGCTGAATGGAGTTATGTATCAAAAGAGGAAAATACATTAATTACCTTCCTTTCGCCTACATTTTTAAATAACTCAATATGAACACCTCCCTTCATTCTAGATGTTAATGCAAAAGTTGCTTCCTTATACCAAATCGCCAATAATTCATCTGTTGTCTTTCCTTCAAAATATATTATTATGTTTATTAGGATAACGACGTTAAATTTTTATTAATTTATCCAAGAAAATGAATTGTAGAATTTTTCTAAAATACATGGACCAATATCAAGGACACACCGGGTTAGTGAAAGAAGGGTTCGAGATATATCAGATTAGTACAGTTCTTCTCTCTATTCTAACCCAAGAATATGAAAAAAGTTATAAAGCAAAAAAATAAAAATAATAATAAAAATAGAAAAATCAAACGTATCAATATCACCAGAATCTACCAAACACAATGGATCCAATGTCTTTAGAAACCTTAAAAATTGTACAAAATGTTAATTGCATATACTGTCATTTATTTTTTTTGTTCGATGAAAAAACGTTAGCCGGTAGATCAGCTGACTGCTGTTAATATTTGTTTTGTTCATCTGGTTCTATCAATTCTAATACTTTTGGTGTCGGTGATTAAAAACCGACAAAGCTGATGTTAAGGAACATTGATGTTGCACTTTCAACTAGCTTGGCCACCTATTCTACAGACTCAATTAAACCTAGTGTACAATACTCAAGTATAATATTTGTTTTGTCTTTCTTGATTTTGAGTGTTCTCCCCGTTACATAATTTTCCGTAAATTTGTAAAGTTTGTTCATAAGCCGGGTCTTTTTTCACATTTTTTGCTTAATCTTTTTAAGTAACTATTGAAAATGAGATATATACGGAAGCGTCCCGGTGCCAATTTAACATGTTCTATAAAAAAAGATAACTCCTACGTAGGACATTATAACTCCTATGTAGGAGATACTACAAGTATATGAAAATCAAATGTTGTAATGCTATATATATTCTTTACATACACGTACATATCTGAGAATATCACAAAAACGATATGCATTCATTTATAATTTTTCAATTGAAATTTCCAATACAATACAGAACTAACCTGGGTACTCCACTGTGAAATCCAGCCAGAACAACTGGGTGTCATTTTTAATACTATTTGTTGAAGGTTTTGTCAATTCTTCATCAACCTTCAACATTTCGGCAATCTTTTCATATGGTCTCAAAGGTTTACATGTGACACATATGTTCCCAAGTCTTGCAAGTCCCGAAATCATGCGCTCAAATCCGACCACATTAGAAACTTCAAATACTGAAATACACAAGTTTAAAGGTATGTGATAAGATTGTTACGCAATAAAGTATTTTGTTGTTTTATACATTAATTTGATTATTATTTACAAAAAAAAACAACCCTGATCACGAACTGAGTTTAATCGAATAAAACAAATTGGTTGCAATGACAAGAAAAAAAGACACTTTACCTGCAATTATCTTGGATTCACCGGTCACCTGAAATAAAATCTTAATGTGACAGTCGAGACAATAGATAATTCCAAAGCAGTTAGATCTACTACATTTTAGACAAAATGAAAAAAAAAAAGATTAAGTGGAATTTATTGACAGTTAAACATAACATGTAAAATAAATGAAATTTTATATTCATAACAACATATGTTATGCCAATAAACAAAACAGCAAACACTCATGCACAATTTTTTTTTCAATTTGGCACAATTTAGAATTCGTTTTTTTTACAAAAATAATTTTTGCACTGGCGTAAAATTTGACGCCCTGGTCCCGTATTCACAAAGATTTAAGGATCAGGATCAATATCAGGATCAAATTTAAAAACTCTTATATTCTTCATTGTTTATCCTTATAGATTAAATATCTAATGATTATTTGATAAAACTGAACTTGCAATAACTTTAAGTTATAAATGGTATTCATCTACATTTAGAAAAAAATCATGCGGAGAACTTTTGAAATAAGGATTGTGTTAAATGCAAGCATAAAGTCAACCTAGAAAATCTGTCACATTCATACACGTATATACAAATAAATTACAAAACTAAGTTTGAAAAACTTGTATTAAAATAATTTTGAAAGAAAATATTTAACATTCTCAAAATCTTAGAAATAAAATATAAATATGAAAATAAAAACGAGTTTTAGCATGATTGTGTGTTTTTGTTTCTACACTTATGTAATCAAACCAGACACGGAGTGATTAATTAGAAAAAAAGTGTGGATAGTATTTTTTCATGAAATCAAAGAAGTGATTTGAACACAAAGTTTTTGTTCTAACAAGATCTTTTAAATAGACAAAAGTTCTCTCTTTCCTGGTTTTATATTTCATTGAAATATGGTTGGGAGCGGTGGCCTAGTGGTTAAGGTGTCTGCCTCTCAATCCAGAGATCACGGGTTCGAGCCCTACTCGGGTCACGACCATGTTTCTCCACATGACACCAGTACTGGTTGGTTCCAGGAAGCGGACTCGAAAGTGATTAATATAAGTTGCAAGAACTTGTTTCGCAATCGAGCTTAAATAAATATGTTTTTTTTAATTAGTATCTCGTGGCCTAGTGGTTAAGGTGTCTGCCTCTCAATCCAGAGATCACGGGTTCGAGCCCTACTCGGGTCACGACCATGTTTCTCCACATGACACCAGTACTGGTTGGTTCCAGGAAGCGGACTCGAAAGTGATTAATATAAGTTGCAAGAACTTGTTTCGCAATCGAGCTTAAATAAATATGTTTTTTTTTAATTAGTAGCAGTGATTTTATTTTCATTTGCAAATTTGGATTTAAAAGGGCAACTGGACTTATCAGATAACTTAATTTAGTATCTTGTGCTGTACAGTATTGCAAGAAATGCAATTAAGCCATTAGGGATACAGAAGCGAAAATGGTTTGTCAAAGTGTGAATTCAGTAAGATTACAGTTAAGCAATTCAGATGCCGTAATTTCAAATAACATTATTAGTATGTTCTCTGGTAAGTAAGTTATTTGCATATAACGCGTTCAGAAGAACTATTTACGTATTCTACGTTGTTGAGAAATGTACGTGAATACATAAACTTCCAAGGCGGAAAATTGTTTTAATTAGGGTTAAGAATTTAAAATATAATGGAATAGGGTTTAATATGCAAGAAAAAATATCTGACATACGTTTGCGGTTCGTATCGGAATATCCGTCCCCCGTGAACAATGGTTTCGTGATATGTTATCACGTATGATACTATAATACTGTGAACATATTTGTTTTTTATGATATTACAGTCCTTCCATTTTAATAAATTCACTTTAAGTATTTGCGCTTTCATTTTCTAAATTCGTTTACTTCTAATTATACCAACTTGTCACAAATCACATACAGTAATCTCATACCTTATACTTGTAGATACATTTCGTTGCGGATTTGTAGTCACACAGTAACTGTCGTATTTTTTCCAGAGTTCCAAGTAAATCAAATCCCTGCTCACACATATTCACCCCGATAGTAAGGAAGTATAAACGACTCGCCATGGTTTTAGATGCTTTCTGAAATGAATAACTCTTTAACTTTTTTTCTAAACAAAAAAGATTAACGCTGCTCAGGTCATATCAATGTTCCTGCTTTACTTGATAATAGTAAGTTTCAACCACCCTTCCTTGCAATATCAAAGCTCAGACTATCTTTCGTTTCATCATATACGATTCAGTTCAGTTTAAATAACGGAACTGAAATGCTAAGCAGTATGTGGTCGGTATGGTGGCTGATTTGGTACGCTTTTGTGCGTCGCGTTGGCGCTAGCGACAACACGACAAAGTGCCAAACGGCGCGTTGTCGCGCTGTCGTTTTGTCGTCCTATCTCAAGCGCGGCAAGCCAAACGGCGCGTTGTCGCGCGGCGTGCTGTCGCGATGTCACATTGTCACTCGGTTCAAATTGAAGGATTGGCTTATAAGCCAAGCGATAGGGCGACAACGCGTCGCACGACAACGCGCCGTTTTGCGTACCGCGCTAGAGACAGGACGACAAGACAACAGCGCAACAACGCGCCGTTAGGCGCTTTGTCGTGTTGTCGCTAGCGACAGGCCGACAAGACGAAAGTCCAACAACGCGCCGTTTGGCGCTTGTCGTATTGTCGCTAGCGCCAACTAGACGCACAAAAGCATACCAAATCAACCACCATAGGTCGGTGATCGGAAGTGACCATCCATAACCACATCCGCATAAAAGACACCTTGTTGTTAATCAAATAGACGAATTACGTAATGATCGATGGCAACGGAGCTCTTGATAACCATTAAACAGGTATAAGGATGAATATATAGATGCTAAAGTTTTGAACCAACTTGATACCTGATGTAGGTGACGTTAAGAATTAAATCGTAAGTATAAAAGAAGATAGTACTGCAGATATGATTTTCACGAGCATGAAATCATCAGAAATCCTTACATAATATAGCTCCGCTTTATGCAATGCATTGGTAGATAATTAAATTATATTCTTTCGAATATAAGAATAGTTTTCAATGCCTTTAAGGGAATAAAAAATACTTATGTTCAATATATTTTTTCAAATATAAAGCTTATTTGAGTACAACTCGAAAAAGAAACCGGCTGAATTAATATAAAAAATATATTAACCAACTAACTCGGAATGCTTGTGCTTAAAGCAGTAAATATATTACATGTATTTAACGGTGATATTGTGTTAATATCAGCTCTAACTGAAAAACAAAAACGTTAAAAACTATTAATAAAAACTTATTACTTGCTGCTAAATAAATCCGGTAAACTTTCTATTAAAACTTTAATACTTTCGATACTATGAATAAAACTTAATGAAATTGTCTGATGTCGTTAGGCTTTCAGATATGTTCAATCTATACAATAACAAATAAACTGCATCAGGAGGAACAAGTGCAAAAATACCGTTTAATGAAAACCGCAAAGTTGTGCTGACAGAGCACTGTAAAGATTTTTTTGTAGACTGGCTCTTGGTTAACAAAATTATTAAATTAAGATAAACCACTTCTACTGGGCACTATAAGAAACTGTAAAACTGACAACATAGGTCAGTTGTATGCCTTAAATGTCACCTGTATGCAAAATTTAAATAAAATATACAGTGTGGTTTATGAGTAATGGACATTTTTCTGAACTGAAACTTTGCTTTCAGAAATGAGGAAACTCTAAATAATCTATAATATCATCATTATGAAAACTGTTTTCCTATTGCTCACTGTTAAGAAACAAATAATAACATTCAGGTAACAAATTACACGCGGAAAAAGATTGTTTCTAAACAAAATGTTTTTAAATATGTATTAAGATGTTACCCTACCCTACCCACTTTAAACACTTATTTGTCTATTTCCCATATAGAAAGCGTTATTTAAAATATCCCTAAAATACCACAATGAGAGGCTGTTTACAAAGTTTGCCTAATTTTTTTTTTAAAAAGTATATTGGTTAATCTTGCAAAATATAAAATACTTTTACCGTGTGGTTTTTATTTCATTAAACTTTGAAAATAACTGGTATCATATTTGCTATTAAATTTGGCATTATTTAACAAATAAATACATACAATAATTACATAATTAATATCAAAAAACTTTTTCTTCCATAATGGAAATTTCAGAGATAGATAAATAATATGTTAAAAAAAGAAAAGAAAAGCAGTTGGTCATTTTGGTGTTTGAACCCACGACCCTCAGTTCAAAGTGGAGGTAATGCATTAGCAGTGGTCTACCTTAAAGTGTCAACTATATAAGAAAACTAATAAACAGTTTTTTCAAAGAAGATAATCTGAACACGTTTTATTTAGTAAAGTGGCAGCCAAAAGTTCCTTAAATCATACTCGTAAATTAAAAATACTCTTTGAAGCAACAAATCAGTCCGTATTTCAATCACAAATAATCATTATTAAAATACTTTGTGTATCTTGGCAAGACTAGCAAAATTTAAACGACATTATACAAAATATTCAAACAATTTGTTTGCATAAAAAGTATTGTATGCATGTTACCCGTCCGACTAGTTGATTCATTGTTGAAAAGAAATGAGACATGCATGTTAAATTACTACCATTGTGTCAGTCTGTCGTTATGTCACTCCTTACTTTTTACAACGGTGTAGATTAAATAAGTGCATGTTATTTTTTTTTTAACACATGCAAAGCTTTAATTTACCTACAAACAAAATAGTCAGCCATACTAAAATAATTTTTTGTTCGATTTTATTTACATGTGTATTTGCTGATTTTGCTGATTTTGCCTTTTTTTCAGCTCAACTGTTCCAGCAAAGTATTGGTTCTTCGTGGTCATGGTGGCCCTAAACTTCCTAGGGTTAAAATAGTAGTTATAAAAAAGTAGTTATTTAGCAAGGTCATACTCAACATTTTCATTTATGTCGTTTTTGGCAATTTTGTCGTGATTGGCGATCTTTAATGATTTCATTTTGTCTAATTTATATATAAGCTTCTTAAAAAAATAGAATCAGCCTAAAGCATGCACGTTTTAATCGAAGAGTATTTCTGGGAAATAAATCTTTAACTGGTAAAATGACAATAGTTTTTATGAGTACGAGTACGCATTTAACCTGAGTAAATAAGAGGATGAATGTTTAAAGAAACAAAACGAAAAATATTAACATTTCGATTTCTCATTTCTATTAAATTATGTTAACCATCGGGTACCAGGCATCAAGGTTATAAAACTTTATTCTGAGTTCTGTCTCAAATCTCAGGACTTTCATTGGTCAAAGTGCATTCTGTGACAGTTTCTGAACAATCAGATGCCCGAGATCTGAGTTTGAGCTTAGAGAATTTTCTTTATAATTTCAGGGCCACAACGACTTAGCCACTTAGTACATTCGTTTGCTTATTTACTTTTTTACGCAAAATTTTGGGGGTTTGCTTCCAACAGTAATTGCAGTGCTTTGATTATTGAAGATGGTGACATGACATGCTAGAAAAGATCATGATTCTTCAGTGCACTCCTAAAATTAGGTCATCGTTCAGCACTACATAATCGCTAAGTTTTGTGGTAATTTTAGTTTCTTTTTATTCTATTTTCTTTTTAGAATTGGGTGGTTCGATCTATTTAAGATGTGTTTCAAGCTTTTTAAAGTTGTCTTTTGACGTCTGACTCTGAAATGTAAACTCGGACCCCATTTCAAAAATTTCATTTTATTTTGTTCCGCTTGCATGAAGGTTTCACTGCACACTCCTGCAGATGTTTATAAATTCAAAATTTCACCATTGTCATAAATGTTAAGTCAATGCAAGAGGGCGTGGACCGTATCTTGCAATTACACACTGGGTCGGGCACCGTCCATAAAGAGGCTCAATCAAACCGCGCCTGTAACGTTCTCAATTTTGCCGGGTTGGATGTTCTTGGGGGATTCTGTCTCTTTTTATATTCTATGTAAATCTATGTAAACTAATTTAAGTGACCCTAATTTAAACTAAGTGACCCAAAAAAAAGTGTTAGTTAATGGGCATTATTTACTTAAATTTTGTAGAGGTTCATAAAAGAATACTATTTATTTTCCCACAAAGCGATTCAAATGAACCCCTTTAATAAGTAAATCTATGTAAACAAAAGACCCCAGGATGGGTCACTTTGATCCCGGGTGCATGTTTTTGTAGTAGAGAACCAAAAGATGATGCTTCATGCCCAAACAGCTATCTTAGTTACAGGCCTTATAGTTTCTAAGATTCTTAAAGTTTTTTTTTGTCCTTTGACAAACACCAACGGCAGTCTGAATAAAGTTCAGATCTCCTTATTTACCTAATGCGTAGCGTTACCTTGGGTGATCTTAATCAGATTAAGGAGATGGCTATTTAAAAGTGGTTAACGAAAACATGCACTCAAAGTTCGTTTTTGGGTTATTTATGACGGGTAATCAAATAGCTTACTGAATTTTCATTTAAAGAGACCATCCAAGGATGCTACAAAATTTAATTGATCTATCATTCACTTCTAAGCAATGTAAAGGTATTTAAGTACTAGTGATACATAAAACGTACACATCAAATTTTATTTGAACAAACAAGTTTATTGATGACACAACGACATACACAGTTTAGTGATAATTCATCAATTGCTTCAGAGGAACAAATTGATCCTTTCATATTTCTAGCTACTGTGACACCTGTTAGCTGATCGCTTTTCGAATCATCAAACTTGAGATGCCAAGGACAAAGTTTGATGATGATGATAACATTGATTTAGATGAGAAGTAATTAATTTTATTTAGAGCTCTGGTTGTCCCTATCCCTGCCAATCTTTCTTTGAGCAAAGTAAATGCAATTCCACCTTAGAATGCTGGTTATGACGAGCCTTGGTTCAGATGTTACAAATGTTTTCTTTGTCAATCTCTGAATAACCCTATAAAGAAGTTGCCGAAATCTATGTAACCTTTATAGTAAAGCATGTGCTGAGAACATGTTTGTTAAGGATCACTCCGTTGGTTCAGAAGAATTAAGCTGTAGCTACCACGCTAAAACAGCTTAAAATTCTAAATTAACTTGTCCATCTGGGCAAAACTATTAGCCAGTTTTGGGAAATTTTCGAAATCAGTATCTACTGAATAGTGCAAACAATTATCAAACGGCATGGATTTGCCGCCTGATTTTGGTCTGCAGTGGCAGAATCAGTTGCTGCCAGGGTAAGAGTTAAAAGGTGTTGAATTTATTTGAAGACCAATCGAAGAATGAGTCATGTATAGATTCATCAGAATATTCTGTCTGTCTGTTATAACGCCGATTTCAGCACATTTTTGTCATATCTCTGCAGTCGGTCCACCAGACTGGCTTTCCCGGATAACTAACCAGTAATTACCAATTCCTCGCAAGTAAGCAACAACTAATCTCACTTATGATTTCTGAATCAGCAATGAGAGAAAAATGACTATAATAATTAAAAGGGATCACTTTCTTCCAGACTTTTTATACTTCAGAACAGCAGGTGTAAAGTGTTATGTGACAGCTATAAAAGCTGCCCCGTACTTCACTTCTGTGTTGTTCTGGTCCTTGATTCCAGCACTTTATAAGTGTTAAATATTGAGAACCGCTCAATTCAGTGCTAGGTGCGTGAGGGACGTTGCATTTTTTTTTCATTATCCCTCATGTTTGGACTTAATTTAACCGAGTCTGTAATTTTCATGTAATTTTGTTGTGATTAATGCTTTCAATGGATCACCTTTTTCAAGAATTTTAATGTCGGAGATCAGCTGCAGTTTCGTCAGTTCGAGAATATTAATCTTTTAATTTTTCATAATTATTAACATGAAGTGTTTTTTTTTGCCTGATGAAGATGAAAACCTCAAACAGGCTAGATGGTAAAATATTAGCCAAATGCAGACAGAACGTCAAAAAAGGATGTTTAAGGCTTAATTTCAAATAAAATTGATGAGAACTTTTTAAAGATACCTCTATTGACACCAAAATATGTACAACAGTTTATCATGGCGTTTTTTTCTCTTTTAGTTTAATGAGCTACAAAAAAAAACTTCTGTTAATAGCCCATTAATAACGTAATGCAATTTTATTGAAAATAAGGTTTATTTCTACAAATTTTACAGTTTTATTACATGTAAATAATAAAAAATAATGTAAACACACACTTAACATGGCATAACTATACAAACAACCTAGTTATACATGAAGAAACAATACTTATTTCTAAGAAACAAAAATTAAGACATGATTATACAGCTCTGATAGTCTTTTCTTGGACATGGCATAAAGATGCTGGAAAAAAAAACCTAGAAAAAATATCAGTCTTCTGACAATACTTTTGCTTTTAGTTTTAGCCTGAAAATAAGTGGTGAAGAGTTATATCCTTTGTTATACTTCTTAGAAAATATTGATTCTTAGCCTTTGAATCCATAATAATTATGTAAAGAAATGCACCAAATTGAATAATTATATAGTCTATTTTAATATAGATTTACTTTGGCTTTGCCGAAGCCTGTGATGACATGGATGAACAATAATCATCCAAACTTTGTATTGCATGAACACTAATGTTGACCCCATTTCCATTTTCTTTCACTACAGGAAGATTAAAGGATAACTCATCAAGGTCATCTGGTTCCATCACAATAAAAGCTTGCACCTGGAAATATAATTAAAATACAATGAGTTAAAACTAGTTCACTGCTACCTGTATATATGACATGTCAATGTTGTGAGTAAAAGCCTACCTGGCTATACACCTGTGCATTTATATCTCAGTATAAATTGGCAGATGCTTAATCACACCAGGGTCTTTCAAAAAGAGATACCCTAACCACACCCATTAAGCTGTTGTGAGATGAACAGCTGATTGCTGGTAGAACAGGTTTTATACTTGGGTTAATTTCATTAATTCTGCAATCAAATGCTGCAAAATATGTAAAAGAAAGTTCTGTTTGTGAAAAGTGACATAAGAGGAAAACTTATCTTGTAAATCTGGTCAAAACTGACATACATCAGCAATTCAATTATGACAAGTTAAATGTGATTCTTTTTTCTTTCAAATAACACAGAAACATAAAGTTAATTTGACATTTTATTTTAACCGTCTATAAAAAGCTTTTTTATTACTTTGATTTATCTGTTTTGATTACTTGTAAAATAATGACCTATAAAAACATTTTCTTCAAAGAGCTATGACCATTCAAATTCAGTAAGGTCTAAAAAAGTGTTGCTGCACTGAACAGCTGGGAAAAACGTGTTCTGGAGAAGAACAGCTATTAGTTTAGATGTCCCTATATGACATAAACATATTGTATGTGCAATGCCAGTAAAGGGCCTAATTTAAGTCAAGTAACTTATTTAGGTGCATGAAAATATCCAAAGATATTGAATAAGCAGTGAGAGAAAATTGACTTAAAGCTGAGGAAGTTTCGCCAGTTCAAGAATATAATCATTTGATTTCATTATTATTATTATTGTGCAATTATTATTTTTGCCTAAGGAAAAAGTCAAACAGGCTAGATAGTAAATTATGAGCCAGTATAGGATGTTAAAGGCAAAATTTCAAATAAAGTTGACGAGAACTGTTTTTAAAATGCTGCAAGTTCAGTTTGACTGAGCCTGTACATAAACGGAAGTGACATTTGCAAGCATAGCTACTGTCCACGACTCCTAGCACCAGCTTAAGCAGAAGTCAACATTTTAATAATGATTTTAAGACAAATACACTTAGTTTAATCAAGTGAAGTTACCTTAACTTTTGAGCTAAAAACCTGGGTCTTGCTTGGAGGCACTTCGCTTGACTTTGGTGAAGAAATATGCCAGTTATTTCCACAAACCATCAAGAAATATTGGATATTAATTGACCTTTGTGGATTAAGTTTCCAAGATATACAAAAGTCATGTGTTTTTCTTTAAATTATCATATTCCCTACCTGCAGAGCTCAGGGGAGATCAGCAGGTAAGCAATAAGGCATTGTATTGTAGAAGAGTTAGCTGTTTAGCTTTGTTAAATGTTTTCAGATGTTCAATGCGGCAACACTTATTTTTGATAACAAGCACATTAACAAACTTGTACAAACTGTGTACACAACTTTCAAGAAAAAGAACTGTAAGAGCAAAAGATTTCACAGGATTTCACATACACTAATAGATTGAGCAACCATCCAAGCAATAAGCTGACTCAAGTATACTCCTTTTAAACATTGTTTGCTGAGTATAATCAGGCAGCACATGTTCAGACAATGTACAGTTGTCATTCACATTGCACAATTAAAAGTTTTAGAGTTAATCTATCAATTAAAGGAAATTAATAACTATACCTTTCTTTCTCCTACATTTTTGAACAACTCAATATGAACACCTCCCTTCCTAGCCGTTAGTGCAAAAGTTGCTTCTCTATGCCAGGTCGCCAACAATTCATCTGTGTTCTTACCTTCAAAATTTATTTTAAGGATGAAATCAAATACTGTAATATACAAGTATATGATGAGATACAGATTGTCTAGAACATGACCCATACACATGGAATTGGGAATTTCAGCAATGTTTTGTTAAAAATTTGGAAAAAATGCATGACTGAAATTTTGCAATAATTAAATGTATGCAAAGAATCTCTGTCTGGGATAGCATCTTCAAACATTTTAGCCCCATAACAGTGAAGAAGTCCTTATTTTCAAAGATTTATGAATTTGTTATTCAATATTTTTGTTTTGTAACTTTCAATTGGGCATTTTTCCTGTGGATTGGGGAAATAATATACTATTTTCAATATGGGAATATGACGGAATATCGGCCATGAAATAAGCCATAAAAAATCCCTGTATTGGTATCATATATACTTTATGAAAAAAACAAATTTAACAGAAATCATTCCATATGTATTGGACTATAATCAAACAATTTAGTGACACATTTTAACTATGAAATCAGTTCTATTTTGACTATTCAATTAAATGTACCAAGAGCTACCAGATAGGAAGCAAACTGGTCTATTCTCAGTGCTTAAAGTTCAAACAAGCCTGGTTCTTCCAGGAATGTTTAAAGCACACTCCTCCTTTATCACTACTAGATAGTTAAGACTCCTATTACAGCAAGTTTACAAAGAAGAATAATTTAAAATAACTTCCAATTTAGAGTTATGGATGTTTGTGAAGACATGGGTGATGTTATGTGAATAGCTGTTGAGGAGATATAACTTGCAGACAAAGCCTTATCCAAATATTTTCAAAAAGTGGAATAATTCAGTAAAGTGCTTGAGTTATATATATTGGTCATAGACCTTCAATGATGGTGCAGGAAACATATGTGAAGTTCTAACCCTTAACCTGTTAAAATCAAAAGTGATTAGCTTTTAAAGATGCACGCCTCCAGATCAGTGAAAAAATATTTCAAGAAAAACTTGAGAAAATGAGAAGTTTCTATGAAAAGTAAAAAGATTCCAGATTCAAGTAATAATTTTACAAGCAATGTGTGATTAATGACTGACATTGCAGTATTTATCACCATATTTCTACTATGTGATTAACATAGAAAGGGCTATTTTTCCATATTTTGACCTGCTTTTTGAAAACAAATTAGCATGAATCTGGAGGCATGCTGCTTTAACAGCAGGATATATCAGAACAGTCTGGCAAATCCTAAATTGTAGGTAGCTCAATTACTGAATTTTGAAATTGGAATCTCTTAATTATACCTGTTCAAATTTAAAGCGAGTCAGGTACATTGGTTCAGGATTAAATGGATCCATTCAGGAAAAAATATTAATAAATGCAGTAAAAGGCCAAATCAAGTGCAAGTACAAGTAGGATGAACATTGTATTACTAAAAGAGTCAAGCTAAAATTAAGCACAATATACCTGGATACTCCACTGTGAAATCTAACCAAAACATCTGACAGTCTTTATCGTCTTTAATACAATTTGTTGATGGTTTTGTTAATTCTTCATCAACTTTCAACATGTTAGCAAAATTCTCATATGGCCTTATTGGTTTACATGTGACATCAATGTTTCCCAGTCTTGCGAGACCAGAAACTGTGCGCTCGAGTCCAACAACATTTGAAACTTCAAAGACTGAAACATCCAAAATTAGAGGCATTAATTATCAAATTCCCTAACAGTGAATCTATGTACAAGTCATGTGTCAACAAAATCATCTCCATAACAACAGTATTAGGTCTATTTTTTTCTGTCAAAAAAAAATATATTTTACCCTACTGTATTGTTTTCCTGGCCTGCCCTTGCCCAGCTTTATTGCTAATATTAGGCTTCCAACAGTGTAGTCTGATGACAATGTACAGATTGACAGACTGGTTTTGCTCTCTATTGTGACTTCTGTGAGGCATTTATAATACCACTTCTCAGCATGCAGATAGTCAAAGAAAGAACAGGTATGCAGCCCAGCAAACACCCGACGTTGACACAACGTTAGATCAACGTTGAAAATTAGTCGCGACGTCGGCGACCTTTACACAACGTCAAACCAACGTTGAAACCCCGACGTCTAACAAACGTTTCATTTTGACGTCGACTCGACGTCGGATTTTGGTCGATAATCTGACAATTGGTAAATTTAATTTATAAAACCAATATATATATAAATATTAGCATAAACAGTGAGAATTTTAAGTTTCTTTAGAAAGGGAACATTATAAATTTATTTGCCTAATCAAAACAACAACAATGTCACGTGGGTGGCTACCGTACGATATTCGATAGGTGGCGCTCGGTAAACGGATAGCCGCAGATCAGTATAATATATATTTGCTCTATTTCTTTTTAATAATAACTTATCTCCTCGAATTAGTCAAAGAAGTGTTTAAATAATTAACAATGAAGTTGTAATCATTTTTGTGGGCTACATTTTATAGTGGTAAATAATCTAGTAAATTCGAATTGGAGTCTTATCGGATTTGAAATTCAATTGTATTGGCGGACAAAAACGACGGGTTGACAGACAAGCTTGTATATTCCAAACAAATAGAAAAAGGTAGGCAAACGTTATATATTGTTTTTAATGCTTATTTACCGCATGTTTGCATGGATTCGGCGGTTAATTGATCATTGTAAAGTTTGACTGGTAAAACTTAAAGTCACATGATTTCGCGAGATAAATATTTTCGTTTCCTCGTTAGAGCACTTTATTATTTGCTTTAGAACAATTTGTATTATCGGATTATTTTTCCCACACTATATCGCCATTGCCAAATTATTGTTTTGCATAATCAATGGTATAAAATATACTAGCAATTGAAATCAATAAAAGGTTAAATGCAGTACGTTAATTAGACTCTATTATTCAAATGCTGGCATATAAAATTTCCTCTTATTTCTTATCAACATGAATTTCCCTTATATGAGGGGCCATTCATTTACACATGTATCAGATAACTGTAGGGTCTCAAGCACAGTTTGATTTTGATGTCTGTGTAGTTGTTTAACTACATGTTGTAAAATTGAAGTATTTTACCCATGAGCATACCACATGTTTCTTATATTATGATAATGATTATTCGCATTTTATACATGTAAATGATACATCTTTGGTAAGATATATCTGAAACCACATTGTTTTCGACTACTTATCTTTTCATTAATGTAATAAGACAACATAGTATCAGTCAGTAAACACATTATCAAGGTTATAAATCAATAAAAATAATAGTTTGTTAATTAGCCTGCTTATCAAATATAGTGAAACAAGTTATATGCTCATATCATAAAACGTTTGTACCCTCAGCCAGTCTGTCCTTTATACTCTTAGCAGATCGGATCATGCTGGGCAGAGATTATATCTATAAAAATGACAGTAACATGTGAATTTCTTTGATGTTGTAGCATTTATATAAATTATGATAAATATAAAAAAATATCATTTTCATATTAAATTTTGCGCAGGCAAAAATCGTAATTTCTTACTAAATTTTCAGGTCATACTTAATGAAAATAATTAATTGAACATTTTATCAGGTTTTTTCGTAAACGTGCTTTGATAATCATAATATTGTTTTGTCTTTCAGTGAATATCAGAGATTGTGAAAATTATGATAATTCAACAACTGTCGAAAGTTCAGAGGAGGAAGATGAAATTATTAAAAGGAAAAGAAGAAGAAAAACACACAAGATTTTGTGACAGGTATAATTCAAAATATTACATTGATCACGAAGCCATTTTTATCAAAATCAAATGATATATAGGTACATGAAACTACATGGTTTAAACTAAAGTAAAAAAAAATAAGCCTCTTTTGTTAAAGTAGTTGGAGAGTTTTGTTAGAATTTCATTTATTTGTAATATGTAAAAGTGATTTATTTCTTGCAATTGTAAGTGATTATTTGATTTATTTTTAAATTTCAGATAGTGTGAATGATGATATCTCAGGTTGGAGACGGTAAAGGTTCAGATTATGATATACTTTAAAGTATGCCCCAGATTGCCATAGTGTAGGTGGACGAAAGAAGAATGCTAATTAAGATATATGAACATTGCTATTTGTAGTAATATCAAAATATTCACAATATTTTTCCATTTAACATTCAGATAAAAAGTACAAAGAAAAATATACAATCAGTGAGTTGGATAGATGATCGGAAAATCCCAACCTTAGGTTGATCGGTTCAGTCGGAAATAAGCCTTGGTGATATAAGAAAAACATGCATGAATGTTAACCATACAAAATGTCAGTGTTAATGTTTATGAAGAATTTTGTATATCTAAAACATGATTATTTAATATATGAAGCGTTATTTACGTACATACTGTCAAGTTTAATAGTTTCATAATACATTATGTTAATGTTACATTTGTTATTGTACCGCATTTATTGTTTTGTACATGTGATTTGTATTGCAAATAAATTGTTAAAATTATAAGAATGCTTATTTGTTTACCCTACTAATGAACTTAAAATGAAAAAAATCATATTCCAAAAAGTTTGAAATGAGGTTAAATCATGGTCAGATAAGGTTGGATTATGTTCACAAAAGGTTGGATAATGGTCAGAAAAGGTTGGATTATGGTCAGAAAAGGTTGGATTATGGTCAGATAATGGTCAGAAAAGGTTGAATTATGGTCAGATAAGGTTGGATAAAGGTCATTTTATGACGTTGTATAGACGTCGGATTCTGACGTCTAAAAAACTTTCAAATCCAACCTTCTGCCAACGTTTACCCAACGTCAGGGTCTAACGTCAGTACAACGTTGGTACAACGTCTTTTGTTTGCTGGGAGGCAGTCATTTTACATCTCAAAGAACTCAATGTCTGTCAAAAACAGAATGACAGAAAATCAACCCTGAACAAGAATTTAAACAAAAGTCTGCATTACTTTTTACAAATTCAGGATTCAATGTAAACAAGAGGGCCATGATGGTCCTAGATCGCTCACCTGACTTATCAAACTCATCCAAACAATTACCTAGACAAGCATTCTGACCAAGTCTCATGACAGGTGAGTCAAAAATGTGACCACTACAGTGTTAACAAGGATTATCCATATTTGAGCAGTGCGACCTAGTTTTTTACCCAGGTGACACATATTCAAACTTGACCTAGAAATCATCAAAACAAACTTTCAGACCAATTTCCAGGATACTTGGATCAAAACAGTAGCAACTAGAGTGTTAACAAGATTTTTCTATTTTTAGCTCCGGTGACCTAGCAATTACCTAGACAAGCATCCTGACCAAAGTTGATGATAATTGAGTCGAAAATGTGACCACTAGAATGTTAACAAGGTTTTTCCATATTTGGGCGGTGTGACAAGATGACCCATGTTCGATCTTGACTTAGAAATCATCAAAACAAACTTTCAGACCAATTTTAATAACAGAATATTTAATAAATCACAACAGTAGCCACTAGAGTGTTAACAAGATTTTTCTATTTTTAGCTCCTGTGACCTAGTTTTTCATCCGAGATGTCCCATGTTCGATTTATTCCCAGCAATGACCTAGACAAGTTTATTGACCAAGTTTGATGACAATTGAGTCAAAATTGTGACCACTAGAGTGTTAACAAGGTTTTTCTATTTTTAGCTCCTGTGGCTTAGTTTTTCATCCGAGATGACCCATGTTCGAACTCATCCAAGCAATTAACTGGACAAGCATTCTGACCAAGTTTGATGATGATTGGTTAAAAAATGTGACCACTAGAGTGTTTACAAGGTTTTTCTATTTTTAGCTCCTGTGACCTAGTTTTTCATCCGAGATGACCCATGTTCGAACTCATCCAAGCAATTAACTGGACAAGCATTCTGACCAAGTTTGATGATGATTGGTTCAAAAATGTGACCACTAGAGTGTTCACAAGGTTTTTCTATTTATAGCTCCTGTGACCTACTTTTTCATCCGAGATGACCCATGTTCAAACTCATTCAAGCTATCAACTAGATAAGCATCCTGACCAAGTTTGATGATGATTGATGCAAAAATGTGACCGCTAGAGTGTTAACAAGGTTTTTCTATTTATAGCTCCGGTGACCTAGTTTTTCACCCTAGATGACCCATATTCGAACTCATCCGAGCTATTATCTAAACAAGCATCCTGACAAAGTTTGATGATGATTGGGTAAAAAATGTGACCACTAGAGTGTTCACAAGGTTTTTCTATTTTTAGCTCCTGTGATCAGAGATGACCTATGTTCGAACTCATCCAAGCAATTGACTAGACAAGCATTCTGACCAAGTTTGATGATGATTGGTTCAAAAATGTGACCACTAGAGTGTTCACAAGGTTTTTCTATTTATAGCTCCTGTGACCTACTTTTTCATCAGAGATGACCCATGTTCGAACTCATCCGAGCTATCACCTAGACAAACATCCTGACCAAGTTTGATGATGATTGGGTCAAAAATGTGACCTCTAGAATGTTCACAAGGTTTTTCTATTTTTAGCTCTTGTGACCTAGTTTTTCATCCGAGATGACCCATGTTCGAACTCATCCGAGCTTTCAACTAGATAAGCATCCTGACCAAGTTTGATGATGATTGAGGCAAAAATGCCACCGCTAGAGTGTTCACAAGCAATTGTGGACGTACGATGTACGACGGACATTCACCGATCCTAAAAGCTTACCCTGAGCAAGCTCAGGTGAGCTAAAAAAACAAAATAGATGTTATAAAAAATGTTACTTTACCTGCAACAATCTTTGATTCACCTGTCACCTAAAATAAAAATTTAAATGATATATAAAACATAAATTCATCTTTTCACTACAAAGACATACTTTTTTGTATAAAACCATCAGTTTCTAGAAACTCTCGCTGTCAAAAACATTTTAAAAATCTGTTTAACGTTTAACTTTCTGCTAATCCAAATTTGAATATTTAACATAATTATATAAATATTTTTCTGCCAATAATTTTTTTCTAGAAAAGAATAAAACAGTATTTACAGAGCCTTATATAAAACTGACATAAAGTCTTATTTGGCTGAAAAATAACAAGGCTCTAGCACTTCATTACTGCTATTGAATTAAAAATATATATGCGGAAAGCTAATCTATTGCTTTTTTCAAAATTTGATGCAAATTATATAACAAAAAGTTGCCTTTAACAAAAAGCAAGGCTTCCAAATAATTTGAAAAAAAATCATACCTTAAACTTGTGAATACATTTGGTGGAAGACGAATAGTCACTCAATAACACTCGTATTTTCTCCAGCGTTCCTGGTAGATCAAAGCCCTGCTCGCACATATTCACCTTGACCGAAAGGAAGTATAAACGGCTCGTCATGGTTTTAAGATACTCTCTGAAATTTAAGAATTGGACTTCATTATTTTCTTTTCGGATGAGTTTAGGAGTGACACATAAAAAACTATTAAGGTATGATTTCAAGTATAGACCAGAGTATTAACCAACATTCTGTATCAAAATTCCTCAACATCCCTGCAGAGATTCAAACCTGCAGAAGTGGAAAGTCATTCCAAGACAGCCCCTATAAATACTTAGTTGTGACAGTCTGTAACCTGCTGAAATTTCAAATGGGAATAATAAATCTTACATTATTGAGAATGTCCTATTATCAATTTTGAGAATTGCGAAATGAAAATTTAAAGTAAGCCAGAAAACAGCTTTGAACCTCGAAAGGATAAAGAAATACATGGATGTGCAGGCCTGTCTGGCTCTTTATTGGTGGCAAATGCCAATCATTTCTGGTTCTGGCAGAATAAGGGTTTATTCGGTCAGAGTATCATTAAAAGAAGTAAACAAGAGCTGGTTGAACCAGGTGATGTCCTCGAATAGGTTTTGGACACAGAAAAGTATACCTTCTGTAGTTTCAGAGTAATGTCCCAGACAAAGTTCCAAGTGCAATAATTCTAAACTTTGGCAAGACAGAGTTACTGTTCATTGCACTGCACTTCTACCAGATGAGATCTATCTACCTACAAAGTTTCATGTTAATACCAGTCTTATGGTTTTAGAGTTATGTCCCAGACAAAGTTCAAAATATAAAAATGAACAAAGGGCAATAACTGCAAAATTAGACAAGGCAGAGTCATGGTTCTATTGCACTGCACATCTACATCTACCCAATGAGGTCTATCTACCTACAAAGTTTCATGATGATATCTCTTCTTGTTTCAGAGTTATGTCCTGGACAAGTAAAGCATACGGTGATGAATATATGCTCACCTTTGGGGAGCATAATAATAATACATTTTTCTTGCAAAATAAAAGCTTTAACAACTGTTAAAACTGTACAGTGTAAAATAACAAAACAAATGTATTGTTAATTTTTTTATACACGATAATGGGTTTAATAAAAGAAAAAATTGAAATTGTTGAAAATATCCCATGTATCCAGTCATGCATTTAATATTGTAAATTTTAAAGCATTGCAATTCTTAGTTACATAATGTTTTGTCAAATTGTAATGGCAAAACCATGTGTACATGTTCATTGTCAAATTACTACAATGACATGTACTAGTCAAGTGTAACATTTTAATATTAAAACAAATGTCATGCAAAATTGTATTTTTTAAAATCTATATAATTCTCAAATTTCCTCAATATTTGTATAGACTTAAACATAACCAGAAACAAATCATGCATATTCAACGGTGTTAACCCAGATAAATTTGTAAAATGGACTCAACTAGCTTTGAATTTCTTGGAACTTTCTTTAGTTAATCTATTAAAAAGGTGGGTTTAAATGATAATTTATGGTAAGAATACAGAACCTTTATGCTTTATTTATTTATTTTTATTTTTTTACTAAAATATCAACAGAAATGCTTGTGTAGCCAGGCAATATTTTGTTTTATGTTTATGATCAACCTAATATTATGCTAATATGTGATCTAATAACATATTTTGGTTCTTTGGAAAGCTGAGGGGGATAGACTGAAATTAGTTTTGGTCTGCTTCTTCAGCTTCTCAAAGCAATATCACTTAGGTGTGAAATCCTTTGATGTAAAAACTTAGAAGCTGGTCAAATGCACATGTGATAATGTTTTATTAATTATGATAGACAGATTAAAGATAAGAAATATATTATTTGATTGGATAAATTTCAAAAAGGGGGCAGATACTTTGTTTTGGATAGAATTTTTGGACATACAGATGGGGGGGGGGGGGAAGCTTAAGGAGTTTGAGGTTTAAGTCTAGGTTAAAAGAAGGGTTAGGATAAGAAAAGAAAATACATGGGAGTAGAAAGATTAGAAGTGAATAAAAGGATTAATTTGATATTGCAATAGATAATAGTTAATTAATAGTAAGGTGGACTGGTGTAAAAGATTTAGCAAATCATATGGAATAAAAGAAACTGAATGTGGACATTAGAGTTTGTTGTTATATAAATTTCAAAAGCAATTGTGAAGTGAAGATTTAAAGCTAATTCCCCGAGTGGTCAGACCTAGAAAGGGCGTCTGGCCACACTTGCTGCAATCTTAGTATCAGTAAAGTCCAGGTGATCTAAATATGAAATAGTACTATCTATGTCAATGTTTACAAGATTTTCAGTTTTTAATCTCTTTAAAACAAATTTTAACAATAATTACCATAATTTATCTAAAAAAAATGAAATAATTAATTTTATATTTCAGCTGTAAAAACTTACTGATACATTAACTCCAGTAAAAAAAGAGATGCTCTCTCACAGATCACAAATTATTTTCTGGTATATATAGGTTAACAATGTCCTTTAAAACTACCGGACTGGTTTATAATCAATTTTATCCTTTCATCAAAAATAATTTACTTAATCAACTTAGGTGTAGACTGGCTCACAGATATACTTTTTAGTACCCGAAAAAACTTCAACCTGGTATCATCAAGTATGTTTTAAGTGTATAAAGATATAAAATCTGATGCCTGTAGTTTTAAAAAAAATTGTATGAATTTTGAAAAAGAATAATTCCAAAATACTTGTATGAAAGAGATTATTTAAATGTTTGTATGTTGGAAAATCATTTCTTAACAGTTAAAATCCTCCACAATTTTTTTTATCTGAAACATTTTATTTTGTTTACATACAATATTCATGTATAATAAATAAAAGAGACAATATATGTAACATCTCTTTTGAGAATTGTACATTATAACAATCATGGAAACAACCTGATTTTACCATTTACAAATTCTAGTACACAAGCACTGGTGGGGATGGGCCGGGGCAATGTTCAACATTTTTACTTTTTCTAAAAGCAAACAAATAAAAGGTATATTTAACAATCTTTAAAAAGGAAATTGAAGAAAAATTGAAGAAAAAAAAAAGTTTTTCTTTACAGTATGTTTGGCTAGTCTATAAAGCAAATTCATATTACAATTAAACTAAAAATAGCAAAATATATTACTTTCAATGTATTCAATACTCCAGGGTAGATTCACTATAAAAAAAGAAATACAATATGAGCCGCGTCACGACAAAACCAACATAGTGGTTTTGCGACCAGCATGGATCCAGACCAGCCTGCGCATCCGCGCAGTCTGATCAGGATCCATGCTGTTCGCTTACAAACCCTATGACAAGTAGAGAAACTGATAGCGAACAGCATGGATCCTGATCAGACTGCGCGGATGCGCAGGCTGGTCTGGATCCATGCTGGTCGCAAACCCACTATGTTGGTTTTGTCGTGACGCGGCTCATATGTATAACTCTTTCAAAAAATATGATATCTGATACATCAATTTTTCTAAAGCTAAAATGATATAGATTAGTTCAGAAAATAGAACACCGGTCAGAATATAGTGACTTTTTGCCTACCAACCAACACAAAAGTATACAAACCAAGATTATAGTGGTAATAATTAAGGCCATACCATATTTATCTCTCATGTTAACAGGTAATGATGGTGTTTATTTATTATTTTTTTCAACAATTTTTCAGCAATGCAAACATTCACAGGAATAATTTCTTCAACTCTCACCTTCTTGTATTTTTTTCTCTTTTTTTTTATAATTACAATAAAATTGAAGTTTTGAAATTGCCAAGTGTTTGGGTCAAACCATCTTGAGCAAGAAACTTTACACTCTCAGCTCAGTACTGGTTGATCTGAAAATACAATTTGCTTTCAAAATGCTACACTGGTCTTGTATATACATATATAGATCTTTTCTTTGCATGGAAACTATTACATATAAATCAGAGTTACTGTGCCGCTAAGATAATGTGAGGGTGACGTTGCATTTTTTTGTGTTCACAAAAGTTTACAATCTTTATCTGAATAGGTAAATCAGGGTTTTTAGTAGCCAATATAGTACAAGATAAAATTTTAAGATGTTTTGATAGCAAAGTTGGTAAAGTCATTGGGATGCAATACAACTTAATTTGTTCACGAGTTCGAGCCTCACAAGTTGTTTAACTTTTTCCTTTCTTTTTGTTTCCCTTTTTTTCAATTTTACCGAAGATGCAAATGAATTGGAAAATAAGGTAGTTTTATCAAACTATCTAATAATTTAAACATATCGGTAATAATATTTTTATCCTGTGTAGTGTGAAAAATGCAGTAGTCATAGTACTTGTGCAGTGCACGAGTATTTTGTGCCAACTGAACTATTGTTGAAACAATTTGTGTACATGTATTCATTCCGTTTTAGTATTCGCTGTAAGGTTGTACCAGCTTGCTGGATATTACTTTTGGAAACAAAAAAAAAATGTGAAATGAGAAGTTAATAGAAATTAACATAACACTTAACACTTCTTGTCAATATTTAAATTTATATAGCAAGTCTGCGTGCCTAAAAATAATGAACACAATATGATAACTGTTTTACACCATAATAATGGACTTGACCACCCCGTCACTAAATAATTATCCTAAACGGACAGTAAAAGAATATCAGTATTATTGTGTTTGATCCTTCATTTACAAATAATCTTGTATGAAAGAAACGTTTCAGTGAGGGTTACAAAACAAGGGGTCTCATTATTCTGAATTTTTTCATAACAGTGCATAGTTAAGATTATTAAAAATGCACCTTTGAATACTCTATAATGTGCATCTATGTATATAATTTATAGCTACATATAATGTACCTTCACACTATATGTTCATTGCTCTGCCAACTATGGGCTGGGGGTGGGGGTGCGGGGTATTTTATGGTTACCCTTCCTTTTTATCCACTTTATATACCTATCAGGTCTGCTTTTTTCCAACAAAATGTTGTTGTGTTTTATTTGTTTGTTTTTGAGTATGTGATGTTTTCTTTTTGTTTGGACAAAAATGAAAAAAGAAAAACATTTTGAGAATATGGTACCATGCAACATTGACTTGGAGAAAAGCTGTCATAAATAGTCTAAATTCGAAATTTTACAGTAACTAATACAACTTCCTGAACTATAATGAACGAAGAATATAGACTTTAAGTAAGAAGCTTGGCTATGGGATTTAACCCTGATAATGTGTACTTCCAAATACCTCTTGCAATCACAATTCAAATATTTTAAAAGGAGCCAACAAATACACATGTAACATCCGTTTAGTAAACAACTCCCTTCCCTATATTAAAATGAACATAAAAACATCAAATAAAAAGGTTAAGGAGGCTTCATATCCAACATAATTACATGTACATAAGATCACAATAAGAATACCGTTCAGTTGGCATTCCTGGCAGAAACATCTTAAAGTAGTTTTAAGTTAGAATGTGTACAGACAGAAAGAATTGATATGTCTGCATCTTCAGTTCTTAAACAGCAGCGTCAAAAATATGATATAAGAACTACAGTCAAAAAACTTTAACCCTTTCCCTCATGAGCATATTGTGAAAAATGGCCGTTTTCACTGAAAAGCCTCCTCTTACAAGTTCAAACTGCTATGAAACTATGAAAAATGCTTCAATACTAATCAAATTTGGCACAAATGTTGACTGGACCTTGCCTTTGTAACAACATGCTCAGTCTTGAATTTCCTGTTACCATGGCAACGAGGGGACATCTCAAAATTGCCAAAAATCACTATTTTGCCTCGATTTTTTCCATCAAAATTTATTTCAAAGTGCTGCAACTTCTCAAGGAATTGAGATAGAGTCAAAGGCTTTTCAGCGTTGGTTACACGTTACCTTATGATTGACCTCTCACAAGTCCAAAATTTTCTTGGCAATGAGGGGGACTTCGCCCCCCTTCAAACCCCCCAAACAGAAGTGGGAACATCCCCCTTCTGGCAACCCCCTGATGTAACTTTTGGATCGGGGCAGCGCTGAAAAAATGCTCACTTTTTTAGCAACATTTCTGAAACGAAAACATGTGTTTGGGGCCCAAATAGGACATTTTTTCACTATTTCAGGCCTAAAAAAAGGGGGGGGGGTCAAAAAAGCTTTGTTTCGCGTATATATGAGGTTAAGGGTTAAACCAAAGATAACGGTACAAAATTCACCAATAAATGACTGTATTTTGATATAAAATTCAACATCAGCTAGCCTTTGTAGACTAAACTCAATATGTTTTTTTTCTAGTTCCCACAAGCAACTTAAATTTCATCATACCCCAGTCTATAGTACCAAATATCATCTCAGTTCTATCCTAGAACTATCCCAGGTAATATCCAATTTAGGACTAGCCTCAATACCTGCATGTACAGAAAGCTTTAAATTTTGTTTACATTTAACACACTACCGGTACCTTGATATTTTCATTTTTGCAATCTATTCTTCTAAATTTTTACCTATCTCTGGATAGTGCCAACTCCTCTAACAAGGTAGGATTTAAGTCAACTTGCACATTAGATAGTAAGTAAACGGTGAAAGAAAAGCAAAATAGTCCAAGCATTATAAACATGCTAGTAAGGTGAGACTGGAAATGTATTCTTGTCATGGTTAAAACGTTAATAGTGAAACTGAGACAGAACATATTGTTATTCTGTTCCTGAGTGAAAGAAGATAAAGGATATTTAAAATATTTAAAAGCACTGGCAGCAAGACTAGTACTGCAATCCTACTACTTACCATTTGAACTGACGTTGGGCGGGGTGGCACTGTAGCTATGGAGTTTATTCATAGTACAGTGCTATGATCAAGAGTAGAAAGAGTACTTGTGTAGTCAAAGAAACCTGTATTTGGTGTAGGGATAAGGGGTGCATATGTCTGGTTAAGCTATGTGGGGCTTGGACATATGGTGGGAGATTAATTGCATAAACATTATGGTATATCTTAATATAGAACATGATGAGTCTACAGTCCAGTCTGTTCAAGGAATCCACAACCTGCATGGCTGTGACACTTGAGAGGGGAGTAATCTCCTTTTTATCTTTTAACTTATTAATGCACCTCTATGTGTATATAATATAAGACAGAAATTCACAGTCATCATCTGCATTGATTGTCAGTGAGTATCAACTAAAGATCTACTCATTAATGGATGTATCTATATTTTGAAAACAGTAATCAATTTGCCTGGCAACATGAAAATCATCATAGGGTTTTATCACAACATTGGGTAGTGAATAACAAGTTTTTCCAAACCTGTCCTGTTTTCTCCCTAGCTAACCTATAATGTACCTTTTGCTTGTGGGTTTTAATTTTAGTGATTACCTAGTCCAACTAATTGTACTGCGTGACGAGATATTGTGCTATTTTCGTGTCTGGGCAATATCTCGCCTCTAAAGCGAGATTCTGCCCCCGAACGAAAATATCTCAGAATCAAGCTTTGGCACGTCAATATATTTTGACTAGTGGTTACCCACCCCTAAACAGGTGTATTATTACCACTGATTGTGTCAGCAAGTAACTTGTCCTACCAAAGTTCTCCAACAGAATTAATCTAAGGCTTGCAATGTCGTTTTAGAAAATTATCAAGCCATTCAAGGAAGATGGTGTTCACAATTGTATTTTATTTACTAGTCTATTTTCTATGTCAAATTTTATACATTAATGCTGTTAATGTGATTATCACAGACATTTAATTTCATGAGGCACATTTTAACTGAAACAACCACATTTCAAGAACAAAATGACTTCTGTCATTTTAATATAACAATCTCATTGCGGAATTTATCAATTTATACAAACCTCTATCGGTAGCGAGATGTCATTTAAATCCGTCTTCTTTATTTAAGACAGAATATTTACTTTGCAATGTATGTGATCACCGTAATATTGGGCTTTTCTTGCTAGTGAAATTTCATTGGTTGTTTTCTACATCAAATAACCAATCACAGCAATGACATCATTCGTGACTTTCCAGACGCTTACTGGAGCTGTCAACGTAACAATCACAACATCTGTTGTACTTTTAACTTTAAGAAGTTGTTTTTATCTATTTATGCCGAAATCAAGATGTGGACTCAAGTTTCTTTTGTTTACGGATATCTTTTTTTCGGAGTTTACTGTTTCGTCTTACCGGATAAAATTTCTGCGGTATGTTTTGATTTCTTTTTGGACTTTTTAACTATTCGTTCACATAAATCTCGTACCCAATAGATGCATAGATATATATTTGGCTGCTAATTGGCTTGTCTTCCACATTAATAAAGGTTTTTTTTATCAAATGATTTTTATGATTTTAAATAGTAATAGTTAACATGGAGTTTTCAGATTTATTATGGAATTTGTTGACTTGCAAATGTAAATTACATTTTAAAAAAGGGTGTAGTTATCTGTACTACTGGCTAAAACTTCTAGCTGTACATTACTCACGCATAGCTATGCACACAGCGGGGGTAGTTGTATGACATGTTTTCAGTTAGTATCAGTGATATGTTATAGGCAACAATGACATCAATATATGAGTCCACATATATATTTTGACCGTTCAAAAAAGTAAATTATCTTTTTTTTCTTTAATTATGATTAAAAGTTAAAAGATGTGAATTATGGGTTATTAAATAGTTGAAAATGAAATTATTAAGATAACTTTCTAATAATTTAATTTGAGCTACTGAAATTTAAAGTTTAGTCAATTAGCGATCCGATAAAATCTCTTTAAATAACTTTTTAAGTAGGAATATGATAAGTATATGTACTGGGATTGACAAATATACATTTAATTTGGATTTTAAGGGGTTAAGAGCTAGTTTTTTGCAAAGTGAAATATCATATGTAAAATTTTATTAAAATGAGAATTTTCACTTTTATTATAATTTTATGTTACATATTAATTTTGTAACCTGCAGCAAAAATTTTGAAATTCAAAGAAAAACAATGTAAAAATTCCCCCTCTTATAAGTAGTTTAGTACTGTCTGGGACATATCTTATGTCCCAGGTACTGTATTGTTCACCAAAAACTGAGAGAAAGAGAGACCTGACACATACCCATGTGACCATGTCATTATAAAGTATAAGAGTTAAACATGAAACTAAATAGATAAAATATAACATTAGAACAAACATTAATTTAAGAAAGTAGCTTCGACAATTATTTTAAATCTATTTTTACTTAAAATTAAGACAGTGTAAACATTTTGTATCATTTTATTTTTGTCCAATGTTTCATGAATGTAAGTTGTTTTTTAATGCTAAGTATTAAACTGTATAACTGAAAAAAGATAGTTGGCAACTTGGCAGTCTTATCCTTTAAAGCTGCATATGCCTCCAAATAAGCAAAAATATTTCAAGATAATCAAATTGGAGAAAAAAATGTAAGATTTTATGAAAAGTAACAAAATTCTAGTAATAATTTTGAACAGATGTAATTTGACTGATTTTTCAGTAAGTATCACCGTATTTCTACTACATGAAGGACTTTTTTTGCATACTTTGACAAATCAAATTTTTTTTTTTGATATTTACTTGGTTTGAAAAAGCCACTGTGATGTGTAATAATTATTTTCTTTGTCCACTTCACACCATTTTACTTCAAAATTTCCATGAAAATTATAACTAATCTGGAGGCATGCTGCTTTTACCTTTAAACATGCATAATTTTAAAATGGGAAAGGGGGGCTTTGCCCTTCCTAGGGCTAATGTCTCACCTGTAAAATTCATCCAAGGGATTTTGTCCTAGGAGGGCTTTATCTGGTAGGGCCTCTATCCATTTCCCTTTAATCATCTATAATAATTGACATTTTAATGATTATATATGTGTATGAAATTCATGAAAATAGAAAAGTAGAAAAATAGAAAAGAAAATAAGCCTTAAAGAGTTTGCGATAATGTTATAAAACAAGTGCAGATACATATTTAAAATTATTTTGCCATGAAAAAATACAACTGCAAACTAAATGATAAATTCATCAATACTTTTGTTTCTCAGATTATAGAAACTTGAAAGATAAGCGAACTGAATGACCTTCAATAGCGAACAATTATTTCAGTTGTAGTTATTACTGATACCCTTTGTTGACTTTAATCTGTATTAAATGTTCAATGAAATTTTTGTCTTGGAATACAAGATTACAAATATATTCATTCCTCTTTGCTTTTCAAGTTTTGTTAGTATTCATTTTTTTCTTTTAGTTATTTATCAAAGAAAGTCGTACAATTTGTCTATGCATGCACAGATTTTAAAAAGTAAGACTTACATAAACATGAAAATAAAGCAACAGAAATGCAATGAAACCATCCATAACATCATCGGATAATTATACAGTCAGGGTGATAGACAATTTTAGATTTGCTTATTTGTTTCTAAAATGAAGATATGTATAATGAAGATGTATTACAATATCTACTTATAAGGTTTTCATTGTGTGTTGTTTTTTTTCTCCACCATGACAGCTTTTCTCTCATTGATCATGGCTGTCAGTAATGTCTACATACCACATAAATGTGGAAGACATATTAATTACTAGTACTGTTGTATATGCTTGTCAAAATTAACTGGTATAAGTTGTGTTTAAGAAACTATGTACGGATTAACTGTGCCCATACCATTCATGCCCTTCTTTACCTGGACATGGCCTTTTTATGGTGGAATGCTTTTAAATATATCTGTATGTAGTGAACTTTCTGTTATTATAAAATCTAAAATGAAACTGTATGCCAATTTAGTCAGTTGTTCACAACTAATATTGAATTAGATACAGATTGCTTTTATTTAATTTCATTGGAAGTTGTAAATATCTTTATGCTTTACATTCTATGTAATAACATATCTCCTTTTTTGAAGTCTGAAGAACTTTAAAAGTCTTTAACCATAATTATTGCCATTAATTAATCAAAAACCACAATTAATTTATATGTTTTGAAAAAATATATATATAAAATGTGAAGGCCAAGCCTTATGCCCTTGCTTAAAAGTGGGTTCTTTTTTTTTCTGAAAATTTATTAATTTTCTGAGAAACATTTAAATAGAACAGCTGATTGTCAAAAAAAGTAAAACAATAACTGCAGGGTACTCATATAAATAACAGTCCTATCATATGTGAATTACAATGTATGCAGATTTTTGATTTTCTGAATTTTTTTTCCCCAGTAAAATCTTCAAAGAATCTCTCTTTTTTTGCATGCTTGTTTTGAATAAAAAAATCACATGGAATTCTCCCTTAATTAATGTGGTACATAATTACAAGTCAAGGTTCAACACAGAAATGTTTGGAATAAGCACTAAATTATAATGACAGGGATTTTTCACATTTTGTAACAGAGGCTTATAAAAAGGCCTTTTTGAAATTTCAAATAGAAATTTTCTTTAAAATAGAGAATTTATATATTAGCTTTTTTCTTTCCCAAATCAGCAATTTTAACAATCATTATTCCCAAAATCAAAAGGGCTAAGGGCCTCACAGTCCCCATTTTAAGAGTCTCCCCTGTGGTCCTAACTCCTAAAAACAAATTGAAATTCTTACAATGTAGATCAGCTTGGGCACAAAAGATGTTGTGCTTTTCTTCTCGTAATTTGAATGAAAAGCTTTGCAACACTTTTCAATTTTATAATTAATCTTTTCTACAGATGACACAGCGTATGAAGTTCAGTAGCACGAAAGATTTACGAATTTTTGCCTCAGACATATCAAGTAATCAAGATTACCAAAATGCAGGATTAAAAGCATTAGCAGCACCTTTACTTGTTCCTCGAATGCCCGACACTGATAGTCACAGAAATGTTCAACAGGTATGTACATTTATAATATAAACACGGGGGTGGAACCCCATATGAATCTCAAAAATGAGCATCGGTAAAAATGATATGTGAATTTCCGCTGCACCAGATGTGAAGCATAACATCAGATGTGACTGGAAAAATAGGCCGATCGCAGGGTAAGTTTTCATCTTTTCAAACATTTATATAAAATTCAATCCTTTTTTTAAGAAAATCGAAATGTGATTCTACCCTCCTGACTCTCCTCTATATTACCCCTTGTTGTTTTGGATTTCTATGCAGTCTTCATCGAGATATTCTTTCCGTCGTGGGTTCTGGTGTGTCCAAAACATGCAATATGAATGAAGAAAATGTCACTAAACGGACTCAAAAAACATAGATTTTACGAAATCTCACTACAGGTCGATGCTAAACATTCAAACAAATCCTGGTTTAAATATTTATTGAGATTTGGCTACATACAAGGGAATCGCTGCTCAAAATTGCATTTGAGCTCCAGATGTGCTGAAGAGATTCATATGTGCATAGCATGAAAAATTTGCAACAATCTAGAATTTCTTCTATTGTGTATCATTCTGTAATAAATACTATTATCCGAAATAGACACATTTTCACGAGACGAGCTTGAATAACATAGTATCCATATAGAAAGAGATATAAGACATTCTGCATACGAAAGGTTTTTAAAATACGTAGATATGGTGGGAAGGCCTTGCTTTTTTGACTTATTGACGTTGTGTGTACTGCAATATTTCCCTTTTTATGCCACCATGCATTAACTAAATTAATTAATTAATTAATTAATTAATTAATTAATTATTCACTCGACTGCACTGTCTGCTTAATAGGAGAGTAATGTGAAGCGTGTTTGAATTTGTTATGATGCTGTATGAAAGTTAGTGATAAACTTTTAAAAAAAGATCGAAGAAGATTTGCTTATTTATTTTCCACATTAAGAAACGTCCCTGCAGAATATTTACATGGTTCACTTAATGCCCACAGTCGCGTTTATGGGTCAATGCCTATCTGAATTTTATGCCTGCTCTGTAATTCTTTGAATGGTTTTAAAGAAACTTTAACATTTCTTAACCGTATTGAGCGGACATGCATAGCTCATAATGCACATAGATTGTTTCCTTAAAATGTTCATGTACGCAAAAAGATCACTAAACTTATTCTCCGCTTTATAACTGTCATTTCAGTGGGAACTGTAAATTATAAACACTTTCGTTTTTCGTTTCTTTTGTTATTTTTCAGGAAAATGGGTCGTTTTCTAGGCACAAAAAGGAAAGGTTTAAAACTTTCAAGAATAAAACGTCACGTGTATCGTGAAAAGAGGAAGTTATCAGCGCTTACATATCCTTTTTTGGCCTTTTAAATTGTCCCCATGTGTCAAAAGATTCCGTGTATCGCAGACTCCAAAGTCCAAGAATTCAGCACGTATTACTTTTTTCAATTCAAAGAAAAACCGCTTAATATTCAATTCACAACTATTATGTCTCATGAAATGTTCTCCACAGAAAGGATTTGCAAAGATAAATAAAGTCAGTTGCAATGAACAGATAGACATTATGGATGACATGGGTTACATAAAAAGTAACCGAGGTTTCGGGTGGGAAATTTAATTTATGGAGAGAAGCCAATCATAAATTGAAATTTTATGTTTATTAAAATTCTCATTTCTGTTTATCATGCGATAAAACAGTTACAATATATCGAACTATTATGTAGAAATATCATGACCTGGGCGGCATCTCGGGTTTTCCTTACAGACAATGTTCTCGGCCCATATCCTGTAAAGAAAAACCTTCGATGTCGCATCAGGCCATGATATTTACACATAACAGTCTGTCGCTATAACTAAAACTTGTGGAATATTAAAGTTATAGATATTTTGATGAATGTAAACATTATTAAAGAAACATATTACTAGTATATGACACGATAGGTACTCATAAGAGTACTATCCGCTCTGCGTCAACATTTTCATGTACTCGAGCCATACTAGTATAAGCTAGTAAGCTCTGTAACTGTGGTAATCAAACACACTAATGTTACAATTAAACTTTCAGCCAAAAGATGCAAAACCTATATTGTTTCTATACATTGGCTATTCATTGATTATATGGAAGAGGTCCGTAGTTTTGTAGATGGATTTCTACATCACTTATGAATCTCTTCAGCACATCTGGAGCTAAAGTGCAATTTTGAGCAGCGACTCCCTTGTATGTAGCCAAATCTCAATAAATATTTAAACCAGGATTTTTTTGAATGTTTAGCATCGACCTGTAGTGAGATTTCGTAAAATCTATGTTTTTTGAGTCCGTTTAGTGACATTTTCTTCATTCATATTGCATGTTTTGGACACACCAGAACCCACGACGGAAAGAATATCTCGATGAAGACTGCATAGAAATCCAAAACAACAAGGGGTAATATAGAGGAGAGTCAGGAGGGTAGAATCACATTTCGATTTTCTTAAAAAAAGGATTGAATTTTATATAAATGTTTAAAAAGATGAAAACTTACCCTACGATCGGCCTATTTTTCCAGTCACATCTGATGTTATGCTTCACATCTGGTGCAGCGGAAATTCACATATCATTTTTACCGATGCTCATTTTTGAGATTCATATGGGGTTCCACCCCCGTGATAAAGATCTATAACAATGCAGAGATCGACTTGTCCACTCTAATGACATTTAGAATTTAAGAAAATTTAATGCAGAAAGTGTAGAAAAATGTTGCCTACACATTGTATTTAGAAGCTACTCAAGTGACTCTGAAAATATTTTCGATGCCTGCAATGACTAGTATTATGAGTATTAAAAATATCACAATTTGTTGTTCAGAGCAGCTCAAATTTAACTCTTTTAAGTTTACGCTTAAAAACCTATAAATTTGAAAATGTAACGGTAATTATTATCTCGCAAGCAACCAGCAAACAATTGCAAGTGCAGAAAATACATGACTGTATAAATAACATAAAATTATATTGATAAAACTGGTTACAAAATGTATTTTCCTGACTGTCACTTAGATAATGGTACAACTTATATGAAAAATCCATGTACAAGATAAAATTATAGATGAACAAAATATTAAATAATATATAGATGAGAAGTTTTTAAAAAGCTAGTGCAATGCTCTTGAATTAAATTTCAAGCTATCCCTTAATTGTTGTGAATTGATGTTTTTTGCTCCCTTAATTATCATAAAGTTAAATCTAAATCCTACATTGCTTCATGTTCATTTGAGTTTTTTGACAATTAAGTTTTTGCATCTACATTTTATATTTATTTTCGGTCAGATTAACTTTTTTCCCGGTAATTCACCTGAATTAGCTATTTTAAGCAAAATATTTACATTGAACATTGAAGGCATTTAAAACTCTTGATAACCAAGTGATGCATTGAAATTCACTTCTATATATGGTACTGTGTGTATAAGATAAATGATTTTTTATGCTCTCTTATTGGAATCAGTCCTAATAAAATCGGAGAAAATTAAGTAGTTTCGGGAATAAAAAAACAAAAACTTCATGACAACCCATTAATGTCATATTATTTATATTTTTTAAAAGTAGAAACCAATGTTGTTGAATGGAGCATTCTGATGAAATGATCTGCCCCCACTTAAGTTGTTTGTGCTGATGTTAATGTTCTGGCGTAACGTAATTAAACGTGACAAACGAGGGAAAGTGACGCTGATTGTGTGTGTTATATTGTAAATCTAATTTACTAATGAAGAACATAAGAGTCGAGTTTCTCCGGTTAAAGAATACTTGATACCACTACTATAGCGCCTTGTTAGATCTGATCTTATCGATGAGGATAATTATAACATGGCGTTCCACTTCTGTCCGTCCTTATTTTTACACGAAACTTGATAATTTGTACTATTTTTTTTCTCCCTGGACTGATTATTATACAATGTTTGTCATGTGTTTTTTTATTACTGTTGGATGTGTTGGTAAATGATATTCTATGAAATTTAGCGACTTGAGTTTATAATATTCATAATTTTAATAAAATTACAGTGACTAACTTTTAACCCTTAACCCTTAACAGACTGAATTTCTTAAATAGACTTGGCATTAACTTCTATTTTTAGAACTCACTGTCTGTTATCAATTTTAGGTTTTAAGTTGAAAATTAAATTAGTCAGTCATTCACTCAGAGCTTGTACAGACTTCAGGCTATCTGAAAGCATTGTACAATTATGAAATGCCTCTTAAATACAAGTTTAAGCATACAGTAATTACTAGAATTTTCCCCTCTATTTATATAAGCTTCTTGATTGTTAATTGATAATAGGAAATTATTAATTGATAAACGGAAAATATACAGAATTTTGCTGTCAAATAATTCTCATAAAAAGGTCCATATTAATGATAAAATAAAAAAAAAAACATCCTGTTTGCATTTTCATTCCTGCATCTTTCATATCTTTTCTTTTGCCATTTTATTCAGCTTTTGGTTTGCTTAAGTCTTGTGTTTTACTTTTGTTTTTCTTAATTAAGAGAATTGAGGCTTTAACAAACAAGAGTCATTGTAAATTGTCAAAGTTGATGAATAAAAAAAGATGTTTAACACTTCGATTTCTCTTGCAAACTTTGTTTTTTCATATAGCAGTGGTTACAATGCTTCTCATTCTGCGTGTATTGTGAAATATTCTTTCCTTTAAGAGAATCTGACTGTAAGATTAGGAATCTTGCATGGTTAAGTGTCAGAAAGTGATAAATTGTATTCATCCTGTAACAATAGCATCAAATTTTCGCCAATAAAATGCTGCGATAGAGAATGAAGACTGCCCAAGGGACATTTAGTTATAGACAGTGAAATATTTCTAGATGTGGTAGTCTTATAATTTTAAAAGGATATATCTTTGTTATATAACTGGTTTTGCCTCTCTTTTTTCCCAGACATTAATATGTCTCATTGTCAGTTCATTTGATAATCTATCAGTTACAAGAGCTTTCAGTAACATTCGACATCGCTCGTTAGTGATTT